ATGATGATGATGCATTCAGCGTTGGCGTAGTGGAGGAGCTGGAGGGGGGCGGCATCACCAGTGAGAGCGGGAGCAGTGAGGGTGACAGCAGTGGGTCAGATGATGACATTGAGGACATCATGGCACAATTGGGACTGGACGAGGTGTTCCAGGGGGAGCGGCTGCCAGTGAGCAGAGTGGCTGTGGTGAGTGAGGAGATGATGAAAATTGATGTGAATCCTGGGTTGGCTGAACCAGTGCGTAAGGAGATTTGGGACACGTTGTTTGAGTTTGAGGATTGTTTTGCTGCATCATTTCTGGACATGGAGGCCACGCCATTGGCTAAGTTCAGCATTCAGCTCCAGCCTGGGGTGCGTCCAACCAAATGTGGACGTCTGCGTCGTTTCAGCCCTAAGGAAAAAGCGTTTCTGGACCAACAGCTGGATATGTTGGAGCAGGCAGGGTTTATACGCTACCTGTCTTACAGCGATTGGTTGGCACCAATTGTGATTGCGCCAAAACGGGGTCCGTGTTCTGGTGACGACTTGCGCTTTTGTGTTGGGTACATGGCTTTGAATGCAGCCACAATGACAGACAGTTATCCTTTGCCAAACATTGATGAGGTTCTGGATACTCTCAATGGTTATGCGTTCTACTCTGTCTTTGACGGTTTTTCGGGGTACTACTCGATTCGGCTCGATGAAGCCAGCATCCCCCTTACTGCATTTTTGACTCCACGCGGAATTGCAGCTTGGACAGTGTTGCCTTTTGGTCTCAAGAATGCACCTCCAGCATACTGTCGTGTGGTGGATCAGGCTTTTCAAGGTCTGACACGGACAACCACTTTCGTTGATGATACGGGGAGGGGCTCTGTCGATGCGCAGAGCATACCGAATGATATCAGGGGTGTGCTTGAGCGGGTCCGGGATGCCAAGTTGAAGTTGAAACCAAGGAAATGTCGTATTGGCTATCCCAAGGTGGCATTTGTGGGCCACATCATTAGTTCTGATGGGATAGAGACTCAGAGGGATAAAGTGCGGCAAGTGCAGGAGAGGGTTGCTCCTACAAACCGCGAGGAACTGCGTTCATTTCTCGGACTGGCTGGGTATTATAGGCGTTTTGTGCGAAAATTTTCAGAGCTTGCGCAGCCGTTGACAAACCTTCTGAGCCAGAGGGTTGCATTCCAGTGGGGAATAGAGGAGGAGAGGAGTTTTAGTGCGTTGAAAAGCGCACTCAGCGCTGCGCCGGTGTTAGGAAAGCCAGACTTTGAGGCAGCTAGGCCTGGGGGCAGCCGGCCCTTTCTGGTAGACACGGACGCCTCCCATTTTGCCATTGGGGGGGTGTTGAGTCAGGTAGATAGGCAGGGTGAGGAGCACCCTATATATTTTTTCAGTCGCAAGCTGACGGCCGCCGAATGTAATTATAGTACGACTGAGAGGGAGGGGTTGGCGGTCATTTGTAGCGTTCAGCGGCTAAGGGCTTATTTGCTCGGCTCGGCGACGCTCATTCGCACGGACCACAGTGCGTTGGCTGGGTTGTTTCGGAATACTCGACGTCACCAGCTTGAGACAAAAATAGTGCCTCAACCGCATCAAATTAAATACGCACCCAACAGTGTCCCCCTCCAAACTCGTCAAACGCCCCCGTGACGAGTTTCCATATGGCAGAAAATCCAAACAGACAATTCAGAATTCAGTCCCTGTTAATCAAAATGATACATCTCATGAACATAAGGACACACCACTCAATCATGTCTCAAAGACAAGCATGCACCATATCAAGTCATGTGCCATCTCAAAACATCCACTGAGACACTTCTTTTTTTTTGTTTTACTTCTTTTTTTTTCTTGTTCCCAATGCTCTACTGCTCAAAGTACTTCTTTAACTTCCCAATGTTTACCATCTCCTGCAAGCCATCGACTTCGTACTTCACTTTGCATCCACCCAGCTCCCCCATCCATATAATGACTGCAGGACCACGCCAGATTGGCCACATCTTGCGCCCCTTTGGTGGTCCACGCTTCTCCCAAGGTTGGGACACCCATACTCTGTCCCCAACTACCAGAGTGGTCCTTGGGCGGGGCGGGTCTGCATTCCCTGCAATTGCTTGGTCGCGCATTGCACCCATCCTCGCCAATCGCGCATGCACCCATTGTTCGTCAATTACTGGCTCACCCAAGAGTCTCTGTAGCACCTCAAGTTCGGCCTCACTCCGAGGTCTAAAGCCTGTCAACAACTCTAATGGTGCCACCCCCTCGCGGCGTACCCTTGCATTCATCGTGAATACTGCATATTTCAGTTGGCGTGGCCAACTCTCGACATCTCCGGTCCTCCTGATCCTATCCATCAGAACCCGATGAGCCCTCTCAATCTTTCCATGGGCCCGAGGAAAGTAGGGTGTGGAGCGGTGCAAACGGATGTGAAGTCTCTCGCAAACGGTCTCAAAAGATCCCTTGAAGTGAGAGCCATTGTCCGTATGGATGGCTCGTGGCAGCCCGTACTGGAGAATGACATGGTCCAGTAGAAACATGACTGATATATCGCCTGTCATCGCTTGCACAGGCACTGCCACCACGTATCCTGTCATGCAGTCGACTGCTGCCAAAAACCCAACTTCGCCAGACATAACTCCTGGCAACCCTGACACATAGTCCAACTGTAAGATGTCCCATGGCTGCGCCGCAAAAACATGACCTGCCGGTTGCGCCGGTCGCACAGGCCCGTACTGCTGACAACCCCTGCATCCTCGTACCCAGTAGATGACGTCCTCACGCATAGATGGCCACCAAAAAACCTCACGTAACTTCCGCAATGTTCCCTCAACACCAAAGTGTCCACCCATCCTGGACGTGTGACCAATACGCAACAACTCCCGAACGTTTTCTCCCATGACACAGATCTTATCGTTGCCATCATCGTCACGACGGAGGAGTTGTCCTTCCACCATCTTCCATCGGCTCAACTCCCTGTCAAAGCCCTCAGTAGCCATTTCATCAATGATGTGGCCATACCATTCATCCCTAGCATAATTCCGAGCCAATCCAGCAATGTTGTATGCCTCTGCAACATCTTCTGGGTCTTCCCCACCTCCCAGTGCCATTAGACCAAGACACTTTGGTTCATCCTCATCATCATGGATTGGTTCCTCACCCTCGACTTCTGGCACCCAACCACGGCTCAAACCATCTGCGTTTCCATGTTTCCGGCCGGGACGAGTGGGTCTTCCCCACCTCCCAGTGCCATTAGACCAAGACACTTTGGTTCATCCTCATCATCATGGATTGGTTCCTCACCCTCGACTTCTGGCACCCAACCACGGCTCAAACCATCTGCGTTTCCATGTTTCCGGCCGGGACGAGTGATAATCGTGTAATCAAACTCGTCCAACAAACACTTCCACCGTGCAACCCTACCAATCAGCTGAGTATTCCGAAACAACCCAGCCAACGCACTGTGGTCCGTGCGAATGAGCGTCGCCGAGCCGAGCAAATAAGCCCTTAGCCGCTGAACGCTACAAATGACCGCCAGCCCCTCCCTCTCAGTCGTACTATAATTACATTCGGCGGCCGTCAGCTTGCGACTGAAAAAATATATAGGGTGCTCCTCAACGGTCGACCTGGCTGACGTCAACCCCATTTTTTCTCGACTTGATGGCCATCCATCGATCCATGCTCAATCCACATCGATTGACCGATCGATGATCAATCCATTTGCACTCTTGTGCGCCGATCTCTTGCACGCGACCTCAGGACCAACACTACAGGGGGCACAAAACTCCAGCCGTCCACGCGCCCAGTTTCAGACGAGCATGCCCTTCGAGGTGGCTATGCTGATGCAACGCCATCGCTGTGTGCATCGAGCATGGAATCGGCCGTGTCTGGGTGCGTACTGCCGAATTATCTTCAATGGTCAAGAAAACACGCACGTACTGCAAAACTCAATGACAGTGCATTTTCGTTGTCCTGCTCAAAGTACTCTAAACGCCTTCCTCCTCTGTTTCTGTACGTGTTGTTACCGTGGGGCACCAAATTCTTGACACGTTCATATTCAGAAGCACCGGTGACGCAAGACACGTTCACATTTAGACAGTCCGGTCACACTCCGGATGAAGAGCCAATTCAGGTATCAGGGGCCTCGGGCAGGTGGCTCTGGGGTTAATGTCTAAACCTTGGGACGGCGCACACACAAAAAACTCACCTCCTTCGCACTTTCTGTTGCCTCTGGTAGGGTGTGGGCGCGCGAGCAACCTCGTGCTTGCGTGGTCCACCTCTGCCGGTCGTACGCCTGGAGTTCTTCGCAACGGAAGGTGCCTTTTATTGAGTCACATTGTAGGGCCTCCAGTTGGCCCAAAAGACACCTAAAGCCCATGTAGTCTCGCTTTTTTGCCCTTCTGTGGTGCGCCCCTCCTCGCCCGTTCAACGTCCACGGGCTCGGCGCTCCCCAGCGAAGTTTCTGTCAAAAGGGTCATCGGGAGTGGACGGCCCTGGAACGCTCGCCCCGCGCAGCCCTAGAGCAGATCAGCCGGAACTGCGGACGGCCCCATCGCCAAGCAAGGTGCCGACGAGGCCCAACGGCGACGCGCGAGCACCAGGTGCGGCGGCGCACTGCCAGCGAATCGCGATCTGCCGATCGACCGGCGCGATCCCGGTAACGGTTGCGGCGCTTCCACCGCTCGGGGCTCGGCCAGTCCCCCTTCCCTAACCGTCCTTGCTCGCACCCCTCGAGTGCGCTTCACTCGCGTGGGCAGCCCCACCAAGAAGGGGATTCATGCCTCCAATCCTTCTTTCAATCCTGGGCCGAGGGGCATCCGTGGTTGTGAATTGCACCCGTCGGCCGACGGCGCCGGCAGCGCGGGCCGGCGTGAGTTCCGCGGCCGCCGTCTTCGCAGGCCAGCCAGATCGCGCCCCACTTCCGTCGGGGTGATCCGAGGGTCAGCCGCGACCCAGCCGGGGCAGCCGGGATGCCCGCAGACTGATGTGCGCGCTCTGTCGTGCAGGGAAAAGCGCGCGGGAAAGGCAGCGATGGACAACGGCCGCTCCAGCGCCTACCAGTGCCCTGCCCTGTACTCGGGGGCGTTTCGCCCCAGCATCGCCTCGCCGGAGCCGGGGCAGACCTTCCTGTGGAAGGCAACGAAGCCGTTCGTCAACGGCGGGCTGAGCGGCATGATGGCCACCTGCATCATCCAGCCCATCGACATGATCAAAGTCCGCATACAGCTGGGCGCCAAGGGCAACCCGGTGGGCGCCGTCGGCCGCAAGGAGGCCGTGAAGGGACCTTGTGCCGCGCGTTGTTGCTTCTGAGTGAACTCGTTTGATTGCATTTGTCCGTCCGTGACAAAACACAGCCTTTTCTTCACCTTATACAGGCGGGCACGGGCGTAAAACCAAACCAGGCATTGGCAAAAATGTGCCTCTGCTCCTGTCAGTGTTTTTCCTTACGGTGTGACGTGGATTACGGCTGGGTTGATGCAACTGCCTGTTGCGATCAGCCTTTCAGCATATTGAGTCCACATTGGCAATGCGACCACCTACCCTTGGCTTCTGACCCAGACCATCGTTCAGATACGACTCTGCCGCAGCATCCCCCCCTGCTTCAACAAGTGTCCATGTTCAATGCTGGTGTCCAAAGGGCGACCGCCTGTATTGGCATCGCTGGATGCGTTGTTGATGGCAAGCAAGCTTGGCTTGCTGACTACATTCTGCCCATTGATTTGCCATGTCCAGTGGCAAGCGATTGGGCCCATCGCCCCAGGTCATTGAATGCTGTGAAGCTAGAGATCGGTGTTGGTCAGGCTGCTGATTGGATGATCTACAGCACGCCAAGAACCCACAGGCGTGTTTCTGACTGCTGGCTTGCATGTGCTTGCACGTGTACCCAGCCGCGAACACGCTCCCCTTGCACCCATAATGCGATGCCATGCACTTCTTGCATCAACAACATTTGTTCCCTGGTTTTATGTTGTTCTCACACCGATGTGTGAACGATGTGTTGTGTTTTGGTCAGATTGCTGTTGGCATGGACATAGCTCGAAAGCAAGGCGTCCTTGCCTTGTATGATGGACTCAGTGCCGGACTCCTCCGTCAGGCTACATACACAACTGCCCGGTTGGGTATATTCAACACTCTGAGCGCAGAGTTGAAGCACAGGAACCAGGGACAGGTGCGGTTCTGGCAATTGCACGCTGAGATAACGCCTGGGTGTTGTTCATTTATGTAAGGGCAAGTGTTGGTATTATTATTTCGCTGATGACATGGCTCACAAGTCGACTCTTTCCCAGCAGCCCCGAGAAAATGTCTTTGTCCCACGCCACCTTTGGGCGATGCAGATCAGAAATGAGGGAATGAAATCATTTTGTCCTGATAGACTGTCATGAGTGCAGTTGTCTGCGATTTTGGGAGGAAATGAATCATGGGAATGCTGCAAGAAGTGTCATGTATTGTGCGGGCAAGTGTTGTTGTTGACTATGAGCTTACAGGGAGTATAGGCTCCCCGCATGAGCACAGGCAGTGGTACTTCTCTAACCCATGCCTCTAGCAATGCACCCAGAAATAACATAACAGGCCCTGAATGGGATCAGTGCTGGCAATCTGAAACATGCAAAGTGCCGGGAAGACAAGAGACACTGTTATGTGGTTCTCCTAAAACACAACGAAAGAGGCTGAAGTGATCTCTGCTGCTCTGCTGTTTTCTTTGGTTACCGAATTTTGCACTTTGTGCTTGGCACTGTGGGAAGAAGGGCAACTGCGGGATCTTGTTGACACAGGATTCCAAGGTCGCTATTCCTCGTCCGGTTCACTAGTCTGGTTGACATGTATTGTTGGACTAGGCACGCATATGAAATGTACTTGTCTGTCAAATAAATTGGTGCAGTGCAGGCATTTATTTTTTTTTGTCCTGTCTCATGGCTATCCGAATCCTGTGTTTAAGTGATACACAGTATTGGCATGAAGGAGGCAGTGAGGTGGTACAATGTACTGCCAAGTGTGGGCATTAGCGCTGCCTCGTTTGCTAAGGAGCAGCCATGAATTCTCCACCGTCAGCTGTCGAGCTGTGCTTGTATGCACATTTGTCAAATGGCAAATGGCTAGAATCCCAATGGTGGAAGCTCCTTTCAGTGCATGTGCGGACATATGATAATATTCTGCCACTGTCCTCGCTAGGCTATGGCGATAGCCTGCCAGATACACACAGTTGATGCAGACAGCAGCAAAAAAGCAGAAGACTAGACAGTCGGACAGGAGTCTGGACAATTGGGTTGTGCCATGTCTGGACTGGACAGGAAAGAAAAATAGATCCGTATGACTGTGTGCATTTAAGAGCATACAGTATTAGGCTTCTGGAAGAACTACCTTTGTCCAGACGTCACAAATTGCTGTCTATTTGCCTGTTGGGCTATGCTGCTGGGTGTGCATGTGTTTAATGACAGAGGGGTTTTGTGCTTTCAACAGAACCTTCCACTTTGGATGAAGGCTGCCTGTGGGTTGACTGCCGGAGGACTGGGTGCACTGGTGGGAACGCCCGCCGATCTGTCCCTCATCAGGATGCAGGCAGATGCAACACTGCCACCTGAGCAAAAACGGAATTATAAGAATGTCATGGATGCTTTGCTCAGGTGCGCGCAGTGCTCCCATGTTGGGTGTTGCGTCAATTTTGTGCTCCCAACGATCTCATGGTCGCTGCTCTCAAGTGTGCCGCCAATGGCTTGTCTGGCTGGGTGTGATGAGCCTTGAAGCATATCGAGTCCATGGTGACAATGTGACGGCCTACGCTTGGCTTCTGACCCAAATGAAGATGGGGATGCAGATGTGCAAGGGCTTGTGCTTCCGATCTTCATGAAACACAAAAGCACAGACAACGGCATAAGCTGAAAGCTGGAAGAATAGTTCGCCGTTCAGTTGACCATCGCAGTGGTTCTGTCCTGAGAGAGGCATCATGTCTTTCCATGCCACATCAGATTGTGAGCATCACAGATGCACAGATATGATTGAGAGGGACCTGCATGCACCAGACTTGTTGTCTGTATGGATACTTCATTGTTCCTGTACAACCTTGCAGAATTGTGCTTCCCATTTGGTGGCTGCTTACCTGCCTATGCTTGCCTGTTCCATCAGGCCACACAGACGACTGGAAGGCAGCAGATCTTGCTTTGGCTAACCAGCGAACACCATCCACTCTTTACTTGGGGGAAACTGCATTTATGGCAGAACATTAGGTGGTCTGCTATGTGGGCACAATAAGCACATTTGGGACAAAACTGTCATGGTGTAAACAGTGTCCCATGTCAGTGGACATTTCCAGGAGTAGCGGCTTCCCGTGTGTTCGCAAACGTGGCGAATGTGGTTTGTGATTGTGGCCATAGGATCACCCGAGAGGAGGGCTTCTTTGGCCTGTTCCGTGGCGCTGCCCCCACTGTCACCCGAGCGATGGCACTCAACATGGGAATGTTGGCATCCAACGATCAGGCTCGGGAGATGCTGGTCGATGCGGGGTTTGAAAAGGGAAGCTACGTGGTTGTTTTGGGTGGCTCCACCATTGCAGGTTTCTTTGCTTCGGCTTGCAGGTAACCAGTGCATTGTGTGCACAGCCGTTTCTGGTGTTGTGCGGTTGGCTAGCTCTGTTGAGGTGCATTTCACAAGATGGAATCCGAACTCGCAAAGAGCAGTCGTTCTTCAGGAATGTTTTGGGACTTGTCCTGCTTTTCAATGCTGCAGAGCCACTGGTGGGGAAGAAACGAAATTGAGTCGATGTGTTGATCAAAGTAGTCTGCACTTTTGTAGATGTTGGCGTCTTTCCTGTGTTGGGCCACATACTTAGGAGCTGTGTTATTGAAGTGATAGAAGATAGGCCAGCGGTCATCCCTGTCCCTTGAGAGGAAATCAGCCCAACAGTGGCCTTGCACCACCGAGTCGAAGATAGGCAATGAACACCATACCCTTTCAACAATTTCTTTTGCCCTCACGTCGATTTGGACAGCAGCATTCTTGAGTCCCACATTCGTCACTTCTGCTTTGGGATGATACACTCCACATGCACCTTGAGCATTGCATCGTGTACTGCAAGATCAGGGTTATCGCAATATGCTTGCATTTTCACGTTGTTTCTCTCAGCATCTAACCAATCCTGGGAGTGGGTCAAGGCAGCTTTGGCAGCAAAACAACACATGTTGGAATGACAATGGCTGAGCATCAATTCCTGTGCACGTGGTCACTGCTATCCCTTGTCCCCGGGGAGCAAGGGCTGCTCTGTGTCATATGTCGACACCTGTGAATGCTGTGGGTATGTGATACCAGAGACAGCTGTGCCTCAATTAGGTGGAATGCCCAGGGTACTCCTCAACAAAGTCTTACTGCTATGCTTGTTTGCATTGTCTCATGTATCGCTGCCCATCTTTCTGGGCATCTACGCCATCTGCCGCATTGTGGACGAGAGTTTCACCATCCTTTTCGCTATCCCAGGAGGGCGCCTACTGCCTGACGTGTCTCATATTCTCATTGCAATGAATGCTATGGTCCTTCCCGTGTGCTGTCTTTTCCTCCTCCACTCGCAGACCCTACGTCATCTTCACAGCATGGGAAGAGTCTGTCATTCTTTCCTGCAGAGGAAGTGGGCTGCCGATTGTGCGGCAATCCTTTCTGTTCCTTTGACAACAAAATCCCATTCTCTGCTCCAGCGACACCCGCTTTGCGCAAATGTGCTGCCAATCCAGTACTGCGATAACACAAGCAGTGGCGATGCAACCTGCCACTGCCCGCCGCTGCAAGTCCTTCTGACGCTGCCTGGTGTGTGCTTGTGCCCTCAGCCTGCCATTCGACTTCGTGAAGACTCGGATGCAGCGCATGACGGCCAACCCGGATGGCACTATGCCCTACAAGGGCTCCATTGACTGCGCGGTGAAGACATTCACGCAGGAGGGTCCCCTCAAGTTCTACACCGGCTTCCCGACGTACTTCATCCGAATCGCACCCCACGTCGCCATGACGCTCGTGTTCCTGGATGCGCTGAGATACATGCAAGGCAAATTCGGGATGTAGGGCTGCACGCCAATTTCGGCGCTGGTGTCTTGGGCCGATAGCGGCTGGCCGACTTGTGGCGGGCAGGGCTGGGAGCAGCTGGATGGCATCAAGGCGTCGGACACACGTAGTCCAAGCTGTCCGACTCCTTTGGTGTTTGCCGACCCATCGAATGGGTGTTGCACGGCTTTCGTTTGTCCAGAAGATTGAGCACATGGCCAAGGACGGGGACCGAACGGTAGTTGTTTTTTTGCTCCGGTTGCTTTATTCGTGTGTGGATTCTTTGCGCGCCTGGGGTGCCTGGAATTGTTTTGGGCGAACGCAATCGCTTTATTCTTTATACAATTGCTTCTCTTTGATGGGACGCGTTGCGTGGACGATGGCACGTTGCTATTCTTGTGTTAGATTGTCGAGAGTCAATAAGCGCGAGCTTAAATGTGCACCCTGCCGAGGGAAGGGCAGGCGCCAACCAGCGGGGCATCAGTTTGAGAACTGGAGGCTGTACACCTTCAGAGGTTCCGGCGGTGCTTGCAGCGGCAACGATGCAGCACTCATTATTGTCTTATTCCACGTCTGAACTGCATTTAAGTGTTTATGAGCCTCCTTCGTCCAATCGGACTCGTGTATCGGTGGCGTGTGTGAACGCTGATTTCCGCATCCAATGTGATTGGCGCAACTTGCCTCTGGCCACAGCCAGGGCTTCGTGCACATGACCAGAGCGTGCAGCAAATGATTTTCACGAAGGCACGGCTCTGGTAACCCCTGCCACCTCTTCGCTGCAGATTGCGTCATAGCACCGCAAGTTGCGTCGCAAGCTGGGTTGCTCGCGTCCAGCGCTGGGATGCTCACAGCGCAGGCTGCTGTTGCTCACAGCGCGTGGAGGATCTGCGGCTCCTCCACACCTTACGTTGAGTCGCAGACGAGCTGTGTGACGTTGCAAGCACGCCGACCGCATCCAAGGCATCAAATGGAGTGCTTTTACACCGATTTGGGACCTGGCAACCAAAGTCTGTCACTTGTGCCTGCGAGGGTGACAGGCTGTAGAAGAGGGCCGGGTGCGACTGCAGTGCGGGCATTTCGTCACTGAGCCAGTCAGGTGGTCCTAATCACCTGAAGGCTCCTAGAGGTAGGTGTCCACGACGAGGTGCAAAGTCTCTGACAACACTCTCCGCATTGTGACGAAGCAATGCCCGTGAACCTGTGAGTCGATGCTGCGGATTTCTCAGCAAAGCATGAGCGAAGTCTCAGACCAGAGTCTTGTTACAAGCCTCCCATCAACAGGATGTGTGGCCGTGCGGGTGTCACGAAAAAAAAAGAAAAAAATCACCAGTCCCAGATTTGGAGGAGATATGACGGCCTACCCATCATACGGCAAACCTGGGTATCCAGAATATTCAGGATGTGGACCAGATGCTGAGAATGCATATCAAGAACAGCACCGTTTTCTCCGCGCCTCTGTGCCCTGCTGGCTGGTGATGAGGGGCATCCTGGCTGCATTGGGGAGGAGTGGTGGCCTGGCGTGCATAGTCGCACAAAGTAGATTATTCGACATTGTATCTGGCAGGTGATGTGCGGCACTGTTCACCATCATCGAAGCTATTCTAAGGGCTGTTTAAAACAAAATTTCAAATTTTGTTCTGGCTTCCGTCCTGGAAATGACTTGCAGATTGATTGAGGAAGGAGCGTGCAAGTCATGGAAGCAAGCAAGCAGGCCCTCGCCTTGATAAAGGATACAGCCACTACGGAATTACAGATGATACTTGATGCCATATGTTGTTCTGCAACAAGCTGCCATTGCGAATCTTTAGTGTAAATTGGCACCGTTTTAGCAAATTGCTAAAGTTTGATAAAGGTTGAACCTTTACCTGCCTCCTCACCCTGATGCTCAACACATCATGATTGAAACAAACCGTTGGTTGCAACCCCTGCCTAACTAGGGCGCTCTTTCTGAGCTTCTTGGCCCTCGAATGACCGAGTTGGGCGACCGTTAGTGCTACAGGCCAAGGGTGCGAAAGGCTAGATGATCCTCTTGGTTCTTGAAAGCCCGGCCGCAACGCACAAGCACCGCTCCCTACCCCTGACAGTCTGTTGCAGGAGTGCCTTTAAAGGAAATTACACCAGGGAATTGCAGACTTTCCCGCAATTGCCGCGGACCATTTATCAGCGATGTGCCATGTGTTCAATGGGACCACATTCGTGGATTAACGGCCGCGTCCGCGGCGTACTCGTTGCCGATGCATCCAGCAACGGGCAATCGCTGTGTGGCCGAAGCCGAATGGCTGCATTCCAACTTCGGACCCAGCTTCTTTCCCAGTTCTTTAATTGGCAGCGTGCGCAGAATGGAACAGTGATAATCAGCATTACTTTGTATCAAAGAAGTTGCCCATTTACCAGTACTCAATCCTCCCATAGCATTTTACAATTCGCAATATTGTGATGCAACTCTCAGTCAGCCAGTTTAGCATTCAGTACCACTGTATCCCACGCACAGACCTCTCACTGCAAGGGGGTCACCGGACACAAGGGAGAGAAGATCCTATGGGGAGAGCCTGAGTAACCCTCACTGGCCTCCTAACGAGTCCCTCTACTCCTAGGGCGCCCAGCATCCAGTGGACGTGCTCAAGATATGCACATCCACTGACCCAAGTTGCGGTTGGACAGAAAGGGAAGGCTCAGGTCAGATGCGGCCACACAGCTTTGAGCGCTGACTAAACGCTTATTCGCACACACACAACGTCGCCCTTGAAATGAACCTGCGAACAGGCCAGTGAATTTTAGGTTTTGGCCAATAAGAAAAGTAAGAAAATTGCGGATAAGATGCCGATATGGCCGTTTTCTCCCATGCACTCGAAAGGAGCAGCGCCGGTGAACGGCACGGCAGGACAGACCCGCAGCCGTCATTTTGCTCGCTGCTGCTTTTGCAGGTGCGAAACATATGGTTGCTGCTGCGCTGGCTCCCGTAGTCTGCTCCGCCTTGCTGCCCCGCGCTCCGCAGCATCGCTGCAGCGTGACGCTGGAAATGTTGCACAGGGATTCGCAGCCTCGACAGCGCGCTCGCCCTTGCGCTCAAAGCTCTCCGCTGTGTGCGCCCGCCCCAGCGGCGCACAGCGGCCGCCGTGGCTAAGAACACCCCAGCAGCTGGAGCGGCACGGCATGACGGAAGTGGAGTACAGCGAGGCGCTGGCCTTCCTTCAAAAGGCCAACAGCACTAACGGCACATCAATATACGAACACCTGACGACGGTGCTGGCAAAGGTTTGTGCAAGCTCTTGTTGCTGCGAGCAGGCTTGCGTGGCAAATAATCAGTGGAGACTCTGGCCGCCGTCCAGTGGAGTCGGACTTGGGTGGGCGCATTTCAGGCGGTGGAAGTTGCCGGCGAAGCCTTTATGTATAAATTGCACGCAGTTTCATGGGGCAAAGGGGAATTGCACCCAATTCGGAGTGTCGCCCAATTTTCTCTGGTATTCGGGCATCCAAAGTCGACTTTTGCCATCGATTGCAGTGTTGAAGCTGTGAGGAACATGTTGCAACCATCAAACGACTTCGCCTACGACAATAAGCACATTGAAAAACCATCGAAATGCACTTGCAACGAGCTGCTGCACTTTGATTGAACCAATTACGTTGAAACAACCCAAAACTACCATATATCCAAATAAAAACAGACAACCGTCGACCACAAATTTTGGTAGTTTAATGTGATCATACCGCACAGTTCCAGTGAATAATTGCATTGTGGTACACAGCTGAGAAATCTGCGTCAACATGTGCTAGTGGGGATAGCTGCGTACGACAATGGGACTATGAATTCGCCATTCGCAGACTTCCCTCACTTAATTGCACGGTCTCGAACTTGAAACATAGCTCTATGCTTGCTTAAGCTGCAATGTGAATACAGTAATCGTCAATGTTTGCCATACTTCCAATTTTCTGAATTCTGCATTTTTGCATTTCGCATTTGGTGTGAATTTCGCGAATGCAAACACTTTTGTACACAAATGTCCGTTCGTCCCTTGTGATCCGTACCGTTTACATAGATCAGTATTGTATGCGATTTTCGCAGCTACAATCACTCAATCGTCTCATGCAGATTATTTGCCAACGACGGCGCTTCGTTCTAAGCAATCGACCAAAAGAGCATGTGGTGCGCAATTGCGCTCGTGCCTCCTCCAGGTCCTGAATGTGTCCCACAACTGGGAGTCTCCAAGAAAACACCCTGCTGACCCCACACCGGATGGATCTTCAATTTCATGTGTTCGGTTTCCATGAATGTTAAGGCGTCGGGCTGTTTGGAGGCTCGCGTGATTACGTACGCCAAAGCATGGCAAAGCACCTCTGAAAACAGCAAAGAAGTTGAATGCAGATCTTGCTCATCCCGTCAATTTTGCGCGGCATGCAGGTACTAGACGAACGTCCCACAAATGCCGTAGATCTGCTGGAGACGTCTCTCTTGGCGAAGAAGACGACAGTATTTGATCCAAAGGAGACTGCGCCCATTGTGCCTCATGAGGTAAACGACACGCCGCATCAGCGCTTCTATCCTATGCCACACTTTGCAGACATGCGCGAAAGGGTCTGGCGCTGTAAGAGATGAGAAAACTTGGGACTGGATCTTCGCGGCAAATGTGTGGGCACCTTTGGGAATGGCACCACCCCGTATCGATGAATAGTATCATTTCATATGGTGAAAATCCCTTTGCATATCTGAGCTTAAAATTCTACCGTTCTCGCAAAATCACTGGCGTGCCAAAAGGCAGCGCGCTAGCGGTTCCAGCTGCGGTGCCATTTTGGCGCGAAGTGATGGCATCACAGTGACTGCGACGGAAACAATGTGACTGTGGTGGCACGAGGTAATGTCAAATGACATTGCATTGGGCATCGCATGCACGACTGAATGAATGGGTGGATGGATGGATGAGTGCGTGCGTGCGTGAGTGAGTGAGTGAGAGAGTGAGAGAGTGAGTGAACGAATGAAGGAACGAATGATTGTGTTGGTACAGGCAAACTGATAATATGACACACTGGCCATGTCGCGTTCCTCCGTTGTGTTTAAATTGTCAGACAGCCGCAGGTTTCAGTCGGCCGATACATGGCCTCACAATACTGGGCAAAAAAACGCCAGCCTCCTGGCTACCAGAGCAGTAACAAGTGCATGTAAGCGCGAGAGTCTCGGCAAGCGCGAACAGGACGAGGGCGCTTGCCTTTCGCAAATATGTCTGCCTCGAATCCACTTCATTTTGTGTGATTTTTGGTTTGGCTTGCATCTATTCAGAAGCGCCTTTGCATATTGAGGCAGTTTCAAACAATGGCTGTGCACGCAATCCACAAGCTCCGCCACATCCTGACATGGCATTTACCAATTTGCACCATTGAATGGTCATTCAAATGTGTGAGAGCCTGATCTGATGTTTGCAGCTGTTCCATGTAGAGCGCTCGAGAGGCGGCCAGGGCCGTAGCAGCTTCTCTGCTTTTCGGGTGCGAAATCGACAGGGACGTGTGAAGCAAGCGTCAATCGCAAAAGGTTCTTCAGCCACAGTGTTACTTTATTTCTATTTCAATTTCGGCAATCGTGATTCTCAAGATGGTCAATATTTTCAGAGGAGCGTACCTTTGTAGGCCAGCCGCACCACGGCGCGAACGCGAGGAAATCACTATCAGAAAACGCCATGTTTGAGATGGCAACTGTGATGGAAATTTTGACAGGAAGTGGCGCCATCACTGTGATTGCAATGGCATCAATTAGCGCTGAAAGGCATCGCAGCTGGCATCGCAAAATGTCGTTTCCTACTGGTGAATGGAACCACGCCAAAACATAAAGGAGTGTTGGAATACGCCATATTCGATCGGATACGTGGAATGTGCGCACTCTGAGACTCACCATATGGGACCCATATTATGATATGAGAATGACATGCTCATTTGTTTCTGTATTGAGTGCTCGCCACGCAAACACACATGTTGATTGCTGCCGAAGCTCGCGAAAGTTCGATCAAATGCAGTGTTCAAATGACACCAAGCCATCTCCAATAAGCGCAGAGCGCCGCAACAGCTTTCATTTTCAAATACTGTTTGAATTCAAGCCCACAGCCTATGGATCTCAAGTTATCTGGATTTCGTGTTCACAGGAAAATTGTCAGATAATTCAATTAACAATTGAATAAATAGTAATAAAATTCGTTAAATTGTGAATAATGCTTGATATTGGCGTCCACCAGGAATGTTGAGCCATCCATTGACCCAGACACTGGAGAGCCCGTAGAAGCGGAGCCCCCACAGGAGGTGAGCCAAAACCACTGCCTCTGATCTGTGTGGTCAATTGACCAAGCCCACTTTTGGTAGCGCATCACGTCCTGTCAATGACGCAACGTTGGCATGCACGTCACCACTTGTCAATGTTGACGTATGGGCATTTGGTGAAGCGTTGTTCAGCGCCGCTTCAATGAGGATGCGGCCACAACATTGCATCGCAGTCAGCCCCTTTTTCTGATGCAGCCCAACTGGAGCCTTCATACCTAGTGACTGCCAGGCTTGTTTTTTATGGTTGCGGGACCACTTTTACGTTGTTATGAGCAAAACAGCAAACAAAACTGCTAATTTGCGGCTATATTTACATATTTTCACGGCGCGTTGATGGCCCAGGTTCCACGGTGAAGTTGTAAATGATCATTCTCCGCCCCTTTGAGCGCCCGCAGCACTCGCTGTGTGTACGCCGTAAATAACATGCCTTGTAATTGCAGTTTTTACCCACATTCTTCTTTTTTGCCCATTTGTTGATCGGTATGTCGATTGCGTGCTTGGAGTTTACTGAAACAAAACGTGTCACAGTCCAGCACGCCAACAGGTTCAATTACTAAATTCAAGGGCAAAGGCAACTTGACGCGTACTTGTCCTTGAGAACACTACACTCACGCGCTCTTTCACACGCTGCAAGTCCACCAGAGCGGTGTCCCGCCACACCAGCGACACGCTGGTGGCCGTCCACAGATAGTCTCATTTATGCAGCTTCATCTCTTGTGGTTTCTTGTTGTCCATGTGTTCCTGTGGCGCATGCCATGTCCCTTACATTTGGAGTCCCTTGCATCATCATCTGCTAGGGGAGCAATCAGGACGACCGGGAATGGGGTTGGGAGCAACCCCGCAGCCCACTGAATCCGCTCTCAGCTGGTGGCCCTGCCGGGAAAGCCTCCTGTCCAAAATAACTAACTCGGTCGCGTTCGAAATCGCCAGCCCGGTTACACGGTGTTCAGCGCCAGAGCTGTTCCCAAGTGTTTCCTCAAAGAGATGCACACGTGAGAATTCGCCATCACGGCTACTGGCGCGCCGGCAACAGCCGCGACAGCCCTGCAGTAACATTGGCGAACTGACGCGGCTCCAAAACTCGGAAACGCCGAACCGCGTCACGCATCCGAGCCCCGGATTCCGCCAAGACGAAGTGCTGGTCGGCTTGCCACGCTCCGAGAGAGTTCGCGCCACCACATGCTGGGGTTTGCAACAATACTTTTAAAGTACTACTGGACTAAATCAGTCCGGCATGTCCGCCGAATGCCACAATCCAGCGCATCCGTCGAGCACACCAATGCGGTGCCCAAGCGACGCACGGTCACGCATGCCTGGCATGTGCGGGCAGTGCACTGAGCGGTTTGCGCCAAAGAGAACTGTACGTAAGTGGGCTGCGTGTTTTATATATACATAGAGGGTTATATGTAAGAGATATGTATTTTTCGCTGCAGTATGAATGTGAGGACATCCTCGGCGACTCCAGCCTGTTCGAGGCGGTGGGCGTGGGCGTGGGCAGCCGGGACATGTACAACATCATGCTCATGGCGAAGAAGCTGGGAGAGGATCCAAAGCACGGCGTAGCCACGATACGATGCTTCGGGAAGTTTTGGGGCCTTTTCGCGGACTACTACGTGTTCGAGACTACTCTGAAGGAGGCGCCAGAGGAGGAGGAAGAAAATCTGGGTATGGGCGGTAACCATGGAAAAAGATCAACACAGCATGAGTAGCGATTTGAATGGCAAGGTAGCCTAAAGTAAAAAGTAAACTTCAAGTCGTCAAAATAAAATATGAAGCAGAACTGGACTGCAGGTAAAGAAGGTGGTGTATTTAGATGCAATAGTATTAAGTGCTAAGCGCAGAACTCTGATCTCTGAGGTGAACAAAATACAACAGTTTGATAGTACTGATCCTCGGAAGCTTGCTATGTGTTGAATGCACTGCCAACAGCTTTCAGGTGGCCTACGTATCTATCTACAATTTACTGATTCACTCAATTCTTACATAGAGGAAGGATGCGTCCCTCCTGAGAAGGGTTCCGGAGCAAATGCCTACAGCTACTTCGTGTGCTCCTACCTTGGAGGCCCCTTCACCAAACTCCCCGACGTTCGGCCCGAGCAAATCAAGGCCGCTAGAAACTTGAAACGATTTCTTGTTGGTCGCCTGGACTCCTCGGTTTCCAACTACCCTCCATTCCCTGGAAAGGAGGCGAATTTCCTGAGGGCACAGGCGAGTGCCGCGAACTACATGAAATTTTCCAGCCAGAATGCACATTTGTCACGGTTTAGGCGTTGCTTCAAAAGGATGCTTTGCAATGAAAAAATTTCGATTACTGTGGTTCACAAAATAAATGGTCGATAACAGCGGTATGTTGTTCAAAATGCAGACGTTTGGAAGAAACTTTCTATGCGAATTACGAAACGCGTTTCGCAACAAGCGCAATGACGTAGGCGCCATTTAAATATTGAACTGCTTGACATTAATGTACCAATCACCCAAAATTGACAGTGAGTTGCACTTTTCTAACGGCAGCAACTCTATATGCGGTGCGCCTGGCAGATAGCCCGCATTTCTTCGACCACGGTGCTGTGCCCCTCTGGTTACTTCAACGTCAGTGAAGAGGGCGAAATTGAGAAGAACGAGGAGTTCCAGAGCCTCGAATCCAGGGAAATGGGAAACGCAACAAACTGGTCGCACAGGTGTGAAAACATTGGGAAGAAACGGAAATTCTGGAGCAGCAGAACAAGTCGCCATGAGTCAGCGGAAACCCACCCCTACCTCCACCTTAAATGAAATAAATTCAATTCTCCAAATGCCACCACAACTCTTGGACTATGCACCACTGCATGCGTTGCTAAAAGCCTAAGATACGTCTGCCGGATAGAGTGATCCTGAATTGCGAACAAACACTGGAAACACCCTTTGCAATTTCGCCTGCTGTCGCAGCTCTTGATTCGAGCAAGCATGCCCAATCTTCCCAGAATATCTTGGGGCAACGGGGAGTGCCGGACAATATCCAGTTTCTCCATGTTGTATTCGCCCTAGCAGTGTCAAATGGAACCATTATTTCGTGATCACTAGCTGGGCACAAAAGTTCAAGAATTTGCCTGGCCACATGGGTTTGCCGGCGCATAAGGTTTCGCTTCACTCGAAATATCAAAATTCCTCCAAGAATGACCTTGCAATACATAGCCTACTGCACAAATGGACGTGCACCTTAGAGAGCACATCTTTTAGCATTCCAAAACATAGGAAAGCTTCCAGCCCTGCCAGATTAGAGGCTTGCTGCCACCCTATCAAAGGTTGCTCTTCTTGAAATAATACTTTTGGGCACTAGATCATGTGGGCAGATGTGCGTTGGTTTAAGCCAGAACCTAAATTTGGCCAGGGCTCAAAGTAGCAGCCATTACCCTAAATCTTGACTATTCAGCCGTTTTGCCAAATACCCATGAGAAGGCATTTCATAATTGGATGCCAGTTATCTCGCAGGCACCCCCATTTGAAGCGACAGGGCAGATGCCAGCCGCATGTCCGGGAGCCGCCCGAAGGGGAGGAGGAGGAATTTGTGCCGACCGAAGAGGAGCAGGAGCAGGGGCCCGAGCCGCTGGCAACGTTGGAAAACGATGCAGAAGTCAACGCAGGCCCCGCGTGGACACCCCTGTACAGCTCTCACAACGAGAATGTAAAGTATCAGGTGGGCCTGAGGGAGAGATGCGCTCGCTGGTGCATATATCCAACAAGTATCTGCCACAAAGGTCCATTGTTGACAACGAAGCACCACCTGGTGCAACAGCATAGGGCGCTTACTTCTTTTGTTCCTGAATTCCGTAAAACATGCTTGCAATGAAGCTGCACGGCAGAACAGGAAACCCAGAGACGGGATTGACCTCGAAATGATTCCACTTCTGATAAATTGACTCCTAAATCGCTTCGCCCATTCCCTCCCAATGCAGTAACGCTCATGCTTCACGGACAAGTCCCCAGGGCAGAGGCTGTTCTCCGTGTGCAAACACCGCGCGTTGCGCGCCTGTTTCATGCACGCCCAATGTGCTGTGAACGCGTCATGAAAAGTACTACAAATTTGCTCCACATCCTTGGATCCACTCTTGTCGGCGACCACTCGCTGCCTATCCTTCAATGCTGGCGAATGCCACTGGCGCAGGTGGCGTGTGTCCGCAGCAACCTGTGGCCAGGGGCGTGCGCCGTGTGGGGCGGCGGCCGCTTCGCCAATATCTACGTGGGTTGGGGCATCAAGAACCTTCCCTTGACGCCCCTGCCTCCTCCCCCCATCAACCCTGAATTCGACCTGGCTCTCATGGAATCCACGGAGCTGCCGCCCAAGCCGGCGGAAGAAGAGCCTGCGGAAGGGGAGGAGGAGGCATGAGGCATCAGCGATCCAGTGGTCCCCCTCATTGACCCTGGTCATCCAGGAAGTACCGCTGTTCCTCCGGCTTCAATCCACCCCAGGCGTGTTTTTCGCTGCAGACTTCGGCTTTCGACGCTTCGGAGACATAAGGCTGGCGATGTGCGTGGCAGTTCATCTCGTCTTGATTGTTACCAGCGGGAGGTCGCTGTCCAAGTTTTGGCTGGAAGTGTGCTTCCAATTTGTGCCAGCATGAGCTGAACATTCGGTTGCGGGACAAGCTTCAGAGGTCGCCGCCAATCGGGGCCCAGGTCAGGAGGGGGTGCCTCATGGTTGCCTTCCATGGAAGCCAGTTATTCCGGGGAGTTATAGAGAATTGTTGAGAGTCATTCCTGCCATAAGCCTGATGGGAAAACCCACAGATGTTTGCCAAAACCCTGAAGCGGTGCCCACCCGTGGTGTGAGCTGGCTTGCTGGAAAAACCGACATCACACAGCCACATGGGAACGTGAGGATTGAACATAAATGGACCAATCCGTGTTACAGAAAGCCCGAGTTTCCAATTTCACATGGGTGTGTGCGCTATGTCTTGTACTGGACCATCCGCAGGGCTTCAGAATCGAGGGACTGGCTCTCATATCAGTCTCTGAAAGTCCATATTCAGATACCGCCCCCCAATTCCCCGTTTTCAGCTCCAAGCCTCTCCACAGGAGATTGCCCATCATCCCATTGGAGTTCGCAAGGGCAGGCGTTTGTTGTGTTGTCCAAATACTGTAGCCAAATGCAATAACAAGGGATGCCACTCCAGCAGTTTTGTTGTCTGAACTCCTCGCCAGGACCACATTGATTGCATATGCATCAACAAAAACTTCTCTTCACAGGTCTCCAGTATTGTCACTGCTGGACATCCCTTTTTGGCCCTTGCCTTGACATCCGTTGTGCGATGCACGTGGGCCAATCCAATTTCCCAAGGGCTAATCACAACCTTATGTGCCGAGCATGTGAGGCAGTCACTCTTCACTGCCATGATCACATTGCTGCAACAGATGAACGGCTGCAGCAATGTCCCGGCTGCCTAACTCAAAATCAATGTCCTGTATGCTGAGGCAACAGCAAAATACTAGCTCCTTCTTTCAAGCACCCAGGTGCCAGTTGTGTGTTGCAGCACAAAGTGAGCATTGGTCAATTCAGCACACAACATTGTCGCATCTGTACACTGCGGTGTACAGAAGTTGACACAAACACAGATGTTCTGAAGCAAATGTGTTGATATCACCATCACCATTACTTACCCAGTGCTGCCATGGGGCATTGACCCTCTGGTGCAGAAACGCACAGACTATGTTTTGCTGGATGACCCTGCTTGTTCAACATGGCTCCACAATTTTCCGACCAGTTTGTTTGTTTGTTTGTTTCTTGCTTACATGGATGCATCGACATGACGTCACGGCATCGATCAATGTAGCGTACAATCCAATGTGCGAGGAGCACGTCCGGGCCCAACAGTGTAACTGAAAAACACGCCTCTAATGGCGTCCGCAGCTGCCACCGAACCCCTAGAAACTCCCCCACGAAAACAAGAGATATAGTTTCGACCAACGCCTCAAGTAAGCAACCAAAAGCAGGAATTTGTGTGGACTTGGGGTACACTGTGAGCGTGTGTTTCCCAACTTGGCACACAGGACTGCTCAGCACTTATCTCTGGGTCTGCAACATGGATCAATGCCCTTCTTTTGCCCCATCGCCCTGGCCCCGACAGCTGGCTACCTCAGCTGCCCATTGGCTGCACCACTGCAGCCCTGATGTGCAAACACAGACATGCCACCACAGTTTCAGGCACGCACAAGCACACACAGAATACCAATGGTTCTTGCCCTTACCCGAATTTCCATCATCTGCTTGCTGGCATACTATGCTTCGCCCATTCCAGATCACCCAACCACACCATTCGCTATGCTGGCTCCTCTGCCACAGTAAGGGGCCATTGGCAGTGACACAACGCCACGTTTTGCAACCACCTCCTCAGCAGTGCCCCAAACTGATGCCATCAATCCATCGTGCCCGTGCCGCGCAGCGACGCAGGCCTCCAGTGCTTTGCCGTCCTGTGGGCGCCTGGCTGGCTCTACCCAACATCCCATTCCCTGCACCACCCCCCATTCTACCCAGAGTCTCGTTTACAATTGCTTAGGAGGGGTGCCCTTTCTACGACCAGTTTCTTTCTCTCTCTGTAACAAACCATAACGCCAATCTACCCAAGCTTATCCCATCCCGCCCTTGAGGTCACAGCTTGGGGTTCAGAGCCGACCTGCCCCTCATCCCCACCACCTTCGCGGTGGCCGCCACCAGCACGCGCTGCACGTCCCGCGAGTGCGGCATGCAGTACTTCTCCAGCCGGTCAAGCCACCCCCGCACTCTCTCGTAGGGCCCCATGAGCTCCGCCCACCCCGGCCCCTCCACTGCGCCATCCATCATCCTCAGCTGCTCCAGGTCGCTGGCGATCAGCAGGTCGGCCAGGCACGGCCTCCCACCGGCCAAAAACTCCCGCCCTTGCCCCAGCCAGTGGCCCTCGATGACGCGCAGCGCGGAGCAGAGCGATCCGGCCGCCAGAGCGGCCACGGCGTCCCTCGCTTGCGTGGAAAATGCCTCACGCGGGATCAAGGAAGGCACGCCGAGGACTGGCGCCAGAACGCGCTCGCGCACCAGCGAGCTTGCGCCGAATCTGACCGTCGTGTGCCACCAGTGGAGCAGGGAATCTACTTTCGCCCTCTCGCGTATATCCTCCGGGTACCAGTGGTCAGGCACGAGGCCCCTGTGCTTCTGGGCCAGGTAGGCCATGATCGCGGCGCTCTCCGGCAGGGTGAAGTCGCCATCGACAAGGAAGGGTACCAGGCCGAGGGGGTTGATGGAGCGGTAGGCGGCGGACCTGTGCTCGCCCTTCTTGATGTTGACGACCGACTCGGCCACCGGCAGGCCGTGAAGCCTGCAGAAGATGAGGCAGGCGCGGCTGGGCTGCGACATGAGGTCCACGTACAGCGTGGTGGACATGGCTGATGTGCGCGCCGCGTGCGCGGCGCCGTGTTTTGGGGCGGCGTTCGACGACTGCTGCGGGCGCTGGAGTGAGTGGCAAGGTGCTGGAGGCAGTTCCCTGTGGGGAATACGCTTATGGACGACTATCGTGTGCGTTTACTAAAAGTAACCTTACCCTGTGCGCAGGAGACCACTAACCCTAACGCTGAGCCGCCCTATCCTTACAGCTCTCTGCTGTCGTCGAGCCCTTCGTTCGAGGCGTGGTAGCAGTGCGAGGTGGTGGCAGTCAAGTCAGCTGTTTGTGCCACGGGGACCTTGTCGCCTGCTGCGCTGGCTGGCCGACGGCTTTGAGGCAGCGACCCGCTGTATTGTCGGGCCTGGTTCATGCTGGTAAAAGTGGAAGTGGTGGGAAAGCCAAACCGGTGTGCTGTCGACAAAATTGGGGTGTCGCTCACTGAGATGTGCCTGGGAAGGATGGGTGCCGTTTCGGACGCAGGCAGAACATCCCTGTGGCAGGCGGCTTGTTCCTGGTACGCTGCTTTTGGCGAGTACAAGGGGAGCTGGTGGCTTAACTTCCTTCCGTGCAATCACTTTGACTGATTGAAGATTAAGCATCCTGTGGGAGTGAGGGGATTGAATTGTGTGAAACTATGTGACTGCCGTTACTGCCAAAAATTCTGTGAATGTCATGAAATATACCGTTTCTACGAAGTGAGTGAATTCTGACTGATGCTTTGCAACACATGGGGTCCAGCGGCTGCGGTGCAGAGTAGTCGAACTTCGGAAATTCAATGTGAGTTCATAGGAAGATGTTATGCCAACCCTGTGAGGCCATTGCGCGCCGTCAGAACGCTGTATGACGAGCTCAGCTCAGTGGACACATGATATGACAAGTGTGTCGCGTTTTCATCATGGTTTCAAGGATGAATTCAGTCGGTCACAGGTTGTCAAAACGAGGGACTAAAGCAATGGCAGAGTCATGGGGCCAGGCCATTCTATTTCTGGAGCAGATTACGTCGTATTTAGGAATGCGTTACCTGGACTCCTAAAGGCAATCTGTGCTTGGAAGACAATGGACCAAACAATTCAGCTAGCCAGCTTTCGTTCCTCCCTGATGTTTCCATGAAGCCTATTGACCCCAGTGGCGCTCTGGCAGTCATCCACCACATCCCTGCGAAAACTCGCCCAAACTTTCCCGTGGGAGAGGGCCGCAGTGCGGCGTGGGCGATGAAACTCCAAACTGACAGCGCCCGACACCGGAATGAGTTCCCAGGGATGCCCGAAACAAGCGCATGCCGACGGAGTGCCCACAAACGGGTCAGATTTGGATGCACCGCTCCGTTTCGACAGGCCGCGGGCTGACGACACGCGCAAGCCCAGGAGCAGGACATGACGGCCGGCTGCCCAGCGACCGCTTGGGCCCTTTGGGTCTGCGCCCGAGGACCGGTTTTGAACTGACAGCTGCGCTGCCGGAACGCCCAGGCTCTAATGGGCTTGCGCAGCGGACGGGTGGTGCCTGTCTGCTGGCGGCGCGCCAGGTCAGGTCCGGCAGCGGCTGGGGAAGAGCGGGGGAGCGCGGTGGACAAAGTGCACAGGGTGAGATTTGAACTCACGCGGACTTACGTCCATCAGAACTTGAGTCTGACGCCTTAACCACTCGGCCACCTGTGCTCACACAGGAAGTTCTGGCACAACCCTATGGAAATTTGGTTTATATATGTTTGCAAAAGTGGAAAATGCTGCTCGATTTGGAAACAGCCCGCATGCGCAGGCCTGCAGGGCTGCCCATGGAACTCAGCGTCATTTGCGCTGGCGAACAACACAGTTTCTGTCCAGGGAATTGGCATGGTGTATCCACAAGTGCAAAGGGCGAAGGCTAAAGGAATGGCACTCGACAGTTGCGCAAAACTAGAATTCATAACTCACTTGAGTGAAATGGGAGAATAAATGTCAATTGGTACACTTGGCGAATTCGCCAAAGCATTCGAATGCTCACAAACGGGTTGTCCTGTTGTGCACAATTGTACTTCTGACCTTGGTCCATGACCAAATCAGCGTCATTTTGTCCACCTGAAATCAGCGATGTGCATTGTTAGCAAGCACTGGTGGTATGCGCTACTGTTTGCGGTTCGGAAATCGTGCATCTTGGGTTGAGGAAGTGTCCGTCGAGAAACATGTTATAGTTGTATACTGTATACCGGAAAAAGTTCACGGGAGAAAAACTTTCCCGCATTTCACGGTCGAATCAGTCCGCAAAAATATTTCTCCGTGAACTTTTTGGCCCCGCGAACTTTTTTCGCCCACGAACTTTTCAGCCCCCCTCAGGGGTGGGTCGGGCGCTGGGCGCTGTTTGGCCTCTTGACTTTACGCTGCGGCTTGTGCCCCCCCGCCAAGTGGCGAAGAAGCCCTGATCTGGCCAGTAGATCGTTCGCACGATAGTGGCCTTCGGCTGGCCGAGTATCCACATAGCCCACAGGTTGTTGGGCGCATTTCGAGGGCATCGGTGTGGTGTATGGTGCAAAGCGATCGACGACCGAATCTGTGCCCGCATCGAGCCCGTCGAGCGCGCAGGGAGCGCACCCTATGAACTGCCCACATGGTCGTTTCGGAGGATCCAACCAAGTGGAGGGGTATCCAAATTCTCCCTGATCGGCATTGTCGTCTCAGGACCCACAAGGAATAGACCACCCCTCTTGCACACTCCTGCAGGCGGACAAGGCTCGTAGGGGTTTTCTGGCAGATCAAACCCTACGGAGAGACCTCCTAACTCTCCCCAATCACCATCCCCGGCACGTCTCCCGCAGGGAACCGGGCCGTTCTGGGCCATCGCAGAGGGCGCGAATGGGTGGCTTCTAGGCGCGAATGTGGGCCCCTGTCGCACCTTTTGGGCGGCCATTCGCGCCAACGGCCGGGGCCATTTTAAGGCAGCGCGGGCGGCATGATTGTGCGTCCGCGAGGTGCCAACCTTGTGGCGCATCTCGCCTCTCGCTGGCGCCCACTCGGGCCACTGGCGGGGCCCATCCCAGGCCTCCGTGGGCGGCGCGAATGGGCAGCCACGAGGCGCCAATCTGGGCGTCCCTCCCTGGCCTCGCCTGCGGCCACTCGGGCAAGCGCTGTTGGTCGCTTAGGACGCCAAGGGACCCTCGGTTTGTCAAGCCTCGGAACGGGCTACAAACAAGTCGGACGCTCTGTAGAGTTCGCGCAGCCAAAATGCTCGCGCGGCAGAAAATTTCGCTGAAAAATGTTATTGGAGAATTTTCGGTATACATATATGGATAACGAAAAAATGATCATGCTGGAGTGTCCGAGTGGTTAAGGAGATGGACTCGAAATCCATTGGGCTCTGCCCGCGCAGGTTCGAATCCTGCCTCCAGCGCATTCCAGCATCGACGCTTTTTCCCTCGACACGCCCGCAAGCAAAATAGCCGACCCAGTGGACACCGTACGCAACTTCCGCGACATCCCAAGGCCTCGCCGCAATTACCAGCACGGTTTCGCTGACGCCTCCTTGCAGCGCGGTGGACGAAACAGGAACAGGATGCGGGGGCGCAATGTCAGCTGCAAGGTGCCGCTGGCAAGCTGTATCTCTGCCGGGCACACTCGTCCGCCCTGCGCACGAGAGTGCGCGGCACTCAGCACCGAGCCGGATCTCTATCAGACCGGGACAACGCTTGTCTTGTCCCCCGCTGGCGCCGGCGGGGAACGTTGCACAACAACGGCCGACGGCCCAACCTTGACGTTCACATCCACGGACAGTGGGATCAGAAGTTTCACAAGCGTCAGAGAAAAGCATTGCCTGGGGCCACGAGCTGCGCTCCGGTGGTTGGATGGCTGGGTAGCGCACGCCCAGCGGCGGGATGCGCCTCGCTCGCCGTGCCAAGGCACCGTGCATCGCGGGATTGTGCGTCGGGGTTCGATCGCGGTGCCTTGTCCACAGTGCGAGGGATCTTAGGCGTTGAAACCGGCCGGGGCGTGGCGCCTCCCGTGTCGAGTGTTGCCCGGGTGCAGCGGGGCGCGACCGCGTAGACGGCGGCGGGTGCGCGGACCTTCGGCGCTCCCCAAGGAGTTGCCTCTGAGTGGCTTGCCCTGGCGGTCGCGGACTGGATGCTGTCTCACCTTGTGTGGGGACACTTTGTGAGACGAGGTCTTACAACGGGAGTTTATGCAGCCTACGCAACAGAGCGTGCTTTCCGCTCGTACATTGGCACCCTCCAGTCAGTCCTAAAATTGATGCACGCGTTCCCCAAATTTGAGTGTGGGGACAAACCCGGAACGGTATATGCTGTGCCGCGCATCTTCTGCCTTCTGTGAGCATCCGAGCTCATGGGCAAGATGCAAAAGAAGAGTGCGAACAATGTACTCACGATTTGAAATCTTGCCACTCATTTGGTCATGGTCGCCAAGCGCCACACGTGCTTCAAACGCGGCAGCATTTGCTGTGCGCGCTCCTTTCGAGGCATATCACTGTGCTTTTGACAACCGTCCACCCCTCCTTCCCGCCCAGAGGTACGTCCGGCGCTTGCCAGAGTAATTGTAGCGGGCAATGCCTCATTCGCAAGTGCAACTGCATACAACGGGATTAGCGGGAGGGCGACGCATGCTTGACGCCCCGCAACTCGTCACGCTGTGAACGTGCAGCTGTATTTTGTGCTGCATTTTGTGTATTACGTTATGTGTGAACGCTGTTGAAACTATGGCTGAGTGTTTCGCGGTGTTTTCTGTGCGTCTCCCTACAAAGAAGAGCAAAGACTCGCAGCACAGTGTCTGACGAGCATGTTCATGAGGGCTGCTCAGCCACCACGTCAGAAGCACATCTTAATTTCTGAGAACTTCAGAAGCTATTCATATTCCTTGCCAGTTGCTGCACATCACCCAGCGTACTTGAATCCTCAACACATCCACATGAAAATGCAAAATGCGGCACATCCCCCGATGCCAAACTGCTGACATGCGCCCGCTGCGAATTTCACACGCATTGGTTCTGAATCACGTTGGAAATTTCAAAGGCAAGGCTCCAGACGGACTCCAACAAATTTCCTGTGCTGCCACTGTCACCCGTCAGAAGAACGTCCGCAGGGATTCTCAGCTGCAAGTCGTGATAGTTTTCGAAGTTGGGGAACCGGCCTCCAGCGGGGCGAGCTTGTGCGTCGTACTCCGTCAGCTCAACCTGCACACGTGATAGAATGCCGCCTGCCTCATTACTCCTGAAAGTTCGGCGCCTCTCGTGCTTTAGGGAAAGCGCCTGCCCTGCATCCATCAACTCCTTTTTGACGCTCGGCATCTGTGCCTGCTCCCCCTGCTGTCGCGCCACCGGCCAAGACAGTGCATCGTGCAGCCCGACAGCTGCTGCCTGCCTGGTCCCATCTCCGGGGGGCGGTTGGCTTCGCAAGATGAACCTGACGTCGCACTCATCGCCGTCCATGATGGCATTCCCTCTCGGCTTGTACGCTCTCTTCACGTCGGTCACCACCCACCGGAAATCGGCTTCCAGCACATGCATGAGCCTCAGGCCTTCGTCGTACCAGACAACATTGTCAGCGCCATCCCTTGTGACAAACAAGACGTACTTCGCCTCCGCCGCGCCCTGGTCCACTAGGCCCTTTGCCTGCAGCCACGTGTCGAGGCGGGACATGGAGGCCTTTGGCAATTCCGAGATGAAGGAAGACGTCGCTGACTGCTTTGCGCGCCACCGGGCGGTGTGTCTGCGTGTGCACGCCCGACGGGCGTGGGCAGCCTCCATCCAGGCCGGATGCACGCTCCCTCCCTTTTTCTGCAACGCCTTCAGCAGTGCACCGACCGCGACGGATCCGTCCTCCACAAAATCCGGCGGCGGCCTCCTGACGTACGACCTCCCGAACTCCACCTTCAAGTCGCAGTCCCCATGCAGCTGAGGGGAGTAGTACCGGCCCAGCTTGGCCAATTGGGCCCCGAAATGCTCCAGAAATGTTGCGAAATTTGGGTCCATGACACCGGGCGGCGGCGCTGGCGCCACAGGGCCCTACGGGCGCTACGCCCTACGGGCCCAACAGGTCACCCGAAGGTTAACCTGCAGTTCGCACCTGCAGACTCGCACCACGAACTTGGACGCGTTCTCGTGGTGGGGTCCCTCGTTGTGCGAGGACCTGTAGTATTCCTCCAAAACAACCCGGTCGTCTCGGCTCTCGGAGCCCTCCACCAGGTAGCAGTAGGCGCCCTCAGCGGCACTCGTGGTGCGCGCATAAACTGTCAAGTTCTTTTCCTCTGTTTCGTACTGTCCAGTCAGATTCCTGACCATTCTCTCTATCCCCCACAGGGCTGCAGATGTGCCCAGCGCCTTGATGACCAGACCGGGGGCCCTCGTGCCCAGGCTGGGGAAAACCTCCACATCCGCAGCCCCGCTGCGCTTCCTCAAAAACCTCCCGAAGTTCGATTCGTACCCAAGAACAGTGTGTGCAGATTTCGTATCAACAAAGAACAGCTTTTCTACCCTTTCCGTTGTCAAGAGCGCTGATGCATCCGCATGAAGCGACAAGCGGTGGGACGCCCTGTCCATTTCCTCCAGGAGCAGCTGAGCTGCCCTTCCCCCGAGCAAACTGCCAAAAGAAGAGCTCCCCTCGTGAGACAATACCCGCGGAAAGTGCGTTCCCACGCGGCTGTCGATTTGTTGGCGGCCATGGCGGAAGAACTCCAGCAACAGCTTTCCAAGCTGCTCCTTGCGTTTGGCACCAACATCTTGTGTTTCCCTGAGTGCGTGCTCCCAACCCTCCGAGGTCGGATCCATACATACATCAGTACTGCCTCCACTGGCAGCCTTTTCACTCCACTGTACAGCTGGGCAAACATCCAAGGCTCGGATCTCGCACCTGTTCAGGCACATGTTGATGAACATGAAAGGAACGATGTACGCATCCACGACGACGTGTCCAGGGTCCGTGAGCTCAATGCTTCTCATCCACCGTGCCAGCAAATGAAGGATTGGCAGCAGGTAAGGGTACCGCTTGATGTACATTACCAAGACGCTCCATTTCTGGAGGTCCAAAATCCGTGTAGTGACTTGGAACCATGTCTGTGCTGCAGCGGCGCAGGGCATCATTCCTTTGTTGAGTTTGCACAGCAGCATTGCGCGTTTGGGATCCCCTGATAGCCTTTTAATTCTCGCCAGAACGCCGTAAAGAGCCTCCTCTGCACCGTCCAGGAGCCTCTTCCCCAATTGCAGGTCCCTTGCCACCGACACACGATCAGCCTCACTGTTGGGCACGAGCACCAGTTCTAAATTTCCCTTTCGCTCAAACAGCATGGCGGCAGACAGCCCAGCCATGCAAGTGTGCCCTATAGGCTTGAGACGTCGCCCAACAGCCCTGCACATGGCACAGCGATCTCTCCAGTTCGGAAGCAGCCATGGCCGGTGCTTCTCAAATTCGCGGACCACACTCTTGCCAATTATGGTCGACACGGATGGCATGGAGTCCTCGGGGTTGTCCGTCCTGTTCCTGGCGTAAATCTTTGCCAACAAGTCACACACGATCCACGGAAAACTGAGGAATCTCATTGCACCCAGCTTGTGACCTTCTGTGCCGCGATATCCCTTCCGCCAGTGGCTCTCCTGGGGATCGTAAGTCTCGACACAAAGACTTGGATCATCCCCATAAGTAACGAAATACCACGCACTCGCCTTTTGCAGTCGCTTTTTCTCGTCACCGTGAACGTTCTCTTCAAATTTGCCTCTGAATGTGTCAACGAGTCTCCTGCAGATGAGCCTTATCGTCTGCCTCACATTTTCCACCTCCCTATCATGCACTGTCTCATGGAGTTGCTCGATGTGCCCGCTCATCAGCTCGCCCTCCGTCCGTATCCCGTACATCTTCATGGCACGACTCAGAGAATTGTTATACTCAGCTCGCACAACTTTGGCCTCCGCCACGTAGGACTCGTAGCCTTCCATGATGAATCCGGTATTCAGGACTATGCCTGTTTGCAACGAGGCCACAAGAGTCATTTCTATACATGCGCTTTTCGCAGCCTCCTTTCGCCATCAAGTCATTAGATCGATACCATAAGCACCGTGCCAAGTCCGATTGCTAACACGAGATTCTGGCAACAGTCCCACACACACAAGTAGCCGTGCGAGACGTGAACGAGCCCACCACACGGAACGGGAAAAGTGGCTCTATCCAAATAGAGCTCAGAAGTACAAAGTGATGCAGGGCAAGCGGCACTTGTCGAACGGCGAGGCATTTTCGCACATTTTAAGTCGCGGAAGCATTCGTCGCTGGACAGCTGTATTCCATGACAGTGTGTTCACCAAAAAATGGCTCATGACCGACGCAACCCGTCATGTTCTCTGCCATTTCCATAGGCATGCTGGATGATAGCACATTGACAATTGGAAAGAAATACTTCATCAAGTCCACAAGCAGCATGTGAATGGCCATCACAGCAAACAAAAACACTGTGCAGCTTTTCTGAGCTTTGTAGGTTCATATTTTGCCATCCGGGACAAGCGTTGTGCGCACAAAAGTTGCCGCAAGTTAACGGTTCCGCATGCTTGAGTTTCTGGACGTTAACGTAGCATTTCAAGTGAGAGTAGTGATAGCTGAGACCACACCTACATCGACTGCGGCTCTTACCTGTGTACAATCAGTGACAGCAAAGCTGGTCTGAAATCGGCATACCGCTGTTGAGCAACCTGCCGTCATGTGCGACCTCTGAGCCAGATGCAAACGCGAGTTTGCAAGAGGTTCTGCAAGCGGCGACGAGCCAACTGCATGGAACGGGGCGTTTGTGGGTGGGGCATACTGCCGCTGCGAATGTACATTCAAGGCAGTGTGAACGGGAATGGTTTCCGGATTCATGCAGCACACGGTTGGATCCACCAAGCAAGTCCCCATTCCCGGTTTCCTGCAATACGGCAGTCGATGCCTGCTGCCAGTTCACTGACCTGAGTCGCCTTTCCACCCGGTCCCCGGTTTTGTCACGTTCATGTATTTGCTGCACTCCCTGAACATCTTCCCCAGCACCCTCTCGGAAGGGTAGCTGGGCTTGCGCGTCTTCATCATGAAATCCGGGTACTTTTTAACCTTCGCCTGGATGTCCCTGTCCACACTCTGCCAGTCGCCCGACTTGGGCGCGTCCACAGCCTTGGAGTGCTGCTCTGCCAAGGTGAGGCAGTCCTCCGACTCCACCCCCTCCATGTCTGCCAAGGCTAAGTGCATCGTGTCAATGAGCCCAAGATTGTCGTGCTGGATATACTGGCACACGTGCTCGATCACGTCGTCAATCCCGACGGGCCTCTCCAGTTCGACCTTGTCGGACGCAGTGTAGTCCATGGGCTGCTTGTTGGGACCCTCAGGAATCAGATCATCCTCCCAGATGACTATGGGCATATGGAAATTCAGAAGCAGCACAAGGAACGCATTCGCACTGGGTCTTATTTGCCCTTTGCAACCGTTGAATGTCCGAGTGAGCGATATCAGAAATTTGTATGCAACTTGAACAGTAAAACACGACACCCGTTGCCCTTCCAGGTACAACACACAAACGGAGAAACTCGCCTGCGCTGCTGATGCGTCCAAGAATGTTCGCCCTGAGCAAACAATCAACAGCTTTCACGCCAAGCGAGGTGAAGGCATCAATCGCTCATAGACGATGGAAAGCGCTCCGCCGTCAGATTCGGCTTCCCAGCATCCCTCACCGTGGTACAAATCTCCATCGAGGTCGGAGCCAGAGAGCTCATCTGGATGCGGCCGCCTGCCAGTGCAGGGAAACACGATGCAATCGTAGATGTGGTGCAGTCCAGGGACATCCACTGCTCTGAACGTCCTCACATCCCCTGGGTGCAGGCAAGGATTCTTGGCCACCACCACAGTGCATTCCAATATCCTGGACTTGTTGTCAGAATCCAGGGCTGCCTCCAAGGTGAAATCTTCAGAATACTGAACGAACACCTGAGGCACAAATCATCACTGCAAGCGGTTTGCTGCCAGAATCAGGAGCGCCCAAGCCACGCTGCGCCATCGCGATCAATGCATTGTGTTGTACCCACTGCGCATTGCCTCAGTGGACCTGCGTTCAAGGGTCCGATCATTCGTCATTACCACTTTTGCTTACGACAATGGGCAACAAACGGCAGGCATCAGCGGGGCTGAGCGCGCCCATCTGGATGCATTGCCTTTGCTCTCCAGTTGCGCAGAAGCCGCAAACACACCCGACAAGTTGTCTCAATACCGCGAATTCAGTGATTTGGAAATGAGAACAGAGATGCGACATTGGGTTGGAACGGGTCATGAAATACTACCCCTTTGTCTTGAAAATCTGCTCGCCCACTGCAGCCCCAATGTCAATTTTACAGCTGGCTGATACCACAGCATCCTGAATTTCCCAAGAATTTAGAATCCTTGTCCTCTCCATAGAGTTTTAAATTTGCTCTGATTCCTTCTGTCCCACTTAAGAAGTACATATTTCTGACTGCTGGTGTCCATTACTCGCAATTATACCATATATAGCGACGGCTAGCCACCGTATACGGAATTCATACTATACGGGCAGCCTCCTATGCGCAGCTACGCATCTGCGCAAGCTTGATGTCATTTCGCGCCGCCTCAAAGATATGCACTGAACAGGCGTGACACCATTGTGCTCCTTGCAATGCTGTAAGGATGGCACGATTGAAATTGCAGTTGCAACAGCTTCGAAGGTGTTCAATGTTGAGCCATGATCATAAGCCACTTTCCAACCTGAGCCTCTGTTGACCATCGGCGCGCCAAACACCTACCCGCTGATTTACCTCTTTGCCACACTTCCAATCGAACGTTCCGCGGAATTGCAATCATGGCAGCCCTCAGAGCAAGAAGAGTCTGCAAACTCCTTCCATGAGTCCAGGGATTCTTTGCACTCACGAAGGGCTTACAAACTCTTCTTTCGACGCAGTAGCGAACTTGATGTAGCAAAGTGATGTAGCCGTTAGATATCGAATCTAAAGACTTTGTTGCTATGACGTATATGAAGTTAATGTGTCGATGATCTCCGTGTGAGTACACGGTTAAAGGCGCTGCATGCATCCATTCTTCCATTCCACTCCCCCATTCCGTGACTCAACGCAGAGTCTGCCAGCTTGCAGCAACTCGGAGTCGGCTTGTGGCGAGAGGAATAGAAAAACACTGCGAAAGCTGACACTAGCATTTTCGGATATCAGCAGCACACAAGTTCCCTATAATGTGGCCAAACGGCGATTTTTTCGGAAGGAAAACGCCCAGCAGATTCCTGGCTTAGATTGGCGATCGTCGTCGAGATGCAACATTCACCACATTGTCATGATCGCGCAGCTCCGTGCGGTTAGAAGCTAATGCAGTACACAAAATTTGCGTACAGAGCATACACATATACAATGCACACATATAGTGTACAAGCATTTAATGCTGCACAGAATGTAGGAGGCATCACCCGTCTGGCACCGCCACCGAGCCCCTCCCTCCCCACCTCTCCATATTGCAGTGTTTTGGTGTCATCGGCAACGCCAATCAATACTCTGCCTTTGCAGTCGTCAATGGGAACTTTGGATCTCTCCAGAAGGTCCTTCATTTGGCACCTGCACAACACCGTCATGAGCATCAATTTGCCACGTTGCGTCTACTGGGTTGCAGAAGAAGGGAGACAGAGCCGCATCAAACCGCTTCGCGCAAGCCCTTGACAATTCGGGAAAGCTACAACTTGCTCTTCAAGGTCAACAGCAGAATGTATGAATTCCAAAATATTTATATCACGCAGTGAGGTACAGACAACACGTCTGCCATGAGGCGTAATTCTCAGTCAATCATTCACCTCAGAAAGCAGCACTTGTACATGTACAAATCAGCAAGGCTGAGTTCTTTGAGCACTTAACGTGATTTGAAAGCTTCCCAATCCACTTTACATGGACACAGCAGCAAAATTTCACTCTAAGTCATTTGTGCAATGATTAGATTCTGATCCTTAAAAGATCGGTTTCTGATCACTGCAGCAGTGCCTAAAAGATCAGATTACGATAACTCTGATCACGACCTGTGCTCAACTTTCTTGTTGAAAACTTCCAATTGCTGGGTGTGGAATTGCCATGTGTACAGCAGAACGATGGGCCTGAAAGTAAGCCTCCTGGTTCTGCACCTGTAGGCGGCCATCATCAGGGACCTCAAGTACGGTTCGGATGTGATGTGGACGCCAGCCTGCTGCAAGCTTCTGCTGTCCACAGACGCTATGTTCATCATCCTCTGGCCCGCCAGCTGCTCGTCGATAAACATCTCCGACATGTGCCTGAGATGTGCCTTCAGTATGTTGAGAAACACGTTGTCATTGATGCCAAGGTTGCTCAGCAGCATGATGATCTGAAGTACGCACATCCAACATTTATCAGCGTGTCTTGGGTTAATTTGAAGATTGCTTGTTACGACAGTTAATTTAGTCATTTTGCGTAAAATGCAAACCGAGCGTCCTTGCACACGGTCGCTCCCAGGCACGGGAAGCAGCGCTGCAACCAGATGCATTCCAGGATGAACGTACCAACTAATTAATTATCGCTGTAAGCATTTATTCACCGTTCCCCATCCCTCCATGTATATTTCACCATAACATAAGAACATACTCACCGTACGTACATTTCACTGTAAATCACCATATCCCACACAACCCTTTTGTAATTGTCCTTTCGCCCTCACGATTGCGCACAGCGATTGGATTAATCAGCACAGCGAGGATGTGCTCAGCATTCAATTTTACGAAGCTTGCGCTAAACGTAGCAATACGTCAGCATGGGCTCGATATTTGACGTGGTGATCAATGCAAGACAGTCCCAGGTTTCCTTACCACAGATTTGAACATGGCCCAGCACGGGCATGCCGCTTTCAAGCTTCTCAATTCCTGCCAGCGCAACCATGTTTGTTCATCTGTGGTGTATCGCTATTGGCTCGTGTGTATATGCTGGTGAGGATGTGCTAGGATGAGTTATGCACACGTTTGATCATTCACAATCAATTCACTAATCACAATTGTCCACAACTGGCTGCCAATTACTGCTCTCGGCAGAAACTGTGGAAAACCGTGCTGTACAGATGTACAAATGGGCTCTCTCCCCATGCCACGATTCTGTGTTTGCAGTTGTGGAATTCTCCTGGATGCCCACATGTCAATGGCAGCTATTGTTTGCAGGATTTCAATATGCAAAACGCTACGTTGTACACCTTCAGGAGCGGCAGAACGGCCGCTATTTCGAGGCATCCAAGCCAATCATGGGCTCACATCACCTGCTGGTTGAGCGATAATCTGATTGGCCTGGAAGTGGCCAAGACTTCAATGTCTTTGTGTCGAGAAGGGTACTTAATCATACTTTTCCTCAGCACCAGTGCCTTCCCCGGGTGATCTGAGTGCAGCTGCTTATCTATGACTACGACTCCCTTTGCGCCTCCAAAACGGATTTGGTAGGCAGAAGGGGTGTGTCCTATCACGAGAGCAGCTGAAATCTGCGAAGCAGGCAAAGAGCGGTCAACGTGGCTAGCTTCATGATGTCTGCCATGAGAAACCATCACGTTCGAGTTTGCGCATAACTGAGGCATTGCTCAGCGCATAATTCTCTGCGCAGAGGATTATACGGTTACAAGGGTACAATGATACACGGTTGATTACCCAAACAACATGAAGGAACACGATTTCCAGCTGCGTAAACGATTTACAGCTGTTGGCAACTGGCACCAACTACAAGACTCATTGTACGGAAAAAAAGCGGTGTTGCACGATTTTCAACTGTGGTACACGATTCAGTTGTTGCCAATTGACCGCACCAAGAGCACGCGATTTTGCATGATGATTTACACGCATAACACGGTGTGTCATTTTCAGGACCGTGTGCTGTGGCCGATCCTTTACTAGTAGCCCAAGCATATCTTCTGCCTTCGCTCTGACAATGAGGTGTGCCCGCCACTAGCAGCGGCCAGCCAGAGGACACCGCACATGACATGACAGTGCCTATCGCTGAGGCCAAGGCGTACACAGCCATTGCAAACGTTTCGCTTGTGGGGCGCTGGAGTGTGTTCGAATTTTGTTCCAACGTGCCTTTAAAACTAAACAGCAAAATCAATTGAACCGTACAACTCAAGGAGCAAGCTGGTGGATGCCAAAACTGCTTCCACCCATCTGCGCTCGCTCAACGCTCCATCTAAAATCTGGGACATCATGGCTGGGACATAATACCCTTAACTGCTGGAAATCGTCCATCGCGAATTTCGAGTCATAATGCTTCATCAAGGCGTAGATGGTGTTACATCATAAGCCAGAACAACCATTGGTAGATCAGATACACAATATCTGGATACGTCCAGCTCCATAAGCACGCTCACCTTCTCTGCAAGCTCGACGGTTAGCCTTCCAACCCCATCAGTGAAGTTGTACCCATTCGCTGTCACATCCTCCTCACCTCTTTCGTCAAACAGATTATCAGCTACTGACACAGTGTTCTCGGAAGAAGAAAAGCCCAGCCCCAGGCGGGCTGTGTATGATGCAACATTCTTTATGCCTGTAAGCAGCGCGTCAACAATGTTGAACTCAGATGCGTACTGTGATTGGTGCAAGTTGGTGGTGACTGAACTGCAAATGGGTCCCGCAATGGATGCCGTCGTGGCGGCCTGCCTTCAAAGCGTTATCAGGTCCAAGTTGGACTGAGATTGCAACTGCATGGCTCCAAACGTTTGTTCTGAGTGCCCACGACAAGATTTCATGCCGGTAGATGACAAATTTGGATGGAATCCGCAGCGGCAGGCTGAATATTCCCTCTGCCTCGAGCAGTCACAGCCAGATTTCCACTGCAATGATCCTGAGCTACACAAAGCTCAATGTGCTCAACCAGTAAACTCTGGCATGGCTACGGCTACAGCAATGCGGGCACGTGTAGGTGCAAGGCAATTTGCAAGGGAGGGCATGAAGGCAAGATGGCTTCATTTCACGAATATAGAAGACACCAGTTGAGCTCAAAGAAGCTTCTTCACAACGAGCTCACTATGTAGATCTCCAATCCAGTTGCGAATGCCATCCGCGGTTTCTGCTCGCTCCTCCACAAACCAGCAAGCATGCTCTCGGTTTTGACTGTTGGACCCGGCCAAGTATTTGTATTCCGCTGCATGGCCAGCTCTGAAGCCTTGCTTCATTACACCAGCCACCCTTTCCAGTAAATCCCCGATCGATCCCTTAGCGGTTGACAGCTTGTCAAGATTCTCATCGCGGACGCTGACTCGTATGAAATTCCTTGGCTGGAACTTCCGCAGGACACGGTTGGTCTGATCATGCAGTCACTCGCCACAGGTCAGGCAATCGCTACATCGACATGTCAGCACAATGCAACGTTGCAGCAGCGTTAACAGCAGCGCAGAGCATGGCATCAAACATAAGAAGAGAGCGAAGTTTATTCTACCATCAGGCAGCGGACACAGAACAGATATGCGTTTCTATCATCGGTCTGATTGGGCGGTCGCGTTCGTCATCATGACGATCGTGTTGGGTGTGCGCGCGTCGTGATGCGTGCCAGGAAGCTGTGACAGTAGTCACAGGATGTTGATGCAGTCGTCGCAACAGCAAAACTGATGAATTGTGAGGGGCGCCGCAGTTGACTTTGCTACATACCCAGAATGCTGGATTTTGAAATTAGATAGCCAGACAAATTGGTCTCGCAAAGGCGAGAAGCCACATCCAAATTTTGGGACCGCGCCCAAACTACTTTCTACATGTTCCTGCAAGTTTCCAAACCCACTAAAATGCAACAGCGTGCAATCACTCGTCCCAAAACTATTAGGTCCCTGTTTAGGAAATACGATTGGAGAATTTTCTTCAATAAGCCTCCGCAGTGGAGTTGCAGAATTTTCTTCCGATTTGCATTGAAAGAAAGGCTAAACCACCCCGGAATAGAACAATAGACACCCGGAAAGGCTGGTGGTGTCTGTAAATTGCTCGATCGTATGTGGCTCCGCACAACCTGCCAGATACAAATGCGGCGATCAAACTCGCAAGTGCTTACAACCTGAAGGCCCTCCGAGGCTGCCTGTACAACCCCGGAGCTTGGACGCAGTACACGTCAAGGCCAAGTCCAGGGTCCCTGACAGTGAACATCAAAGTCAGAGTGCGCCAGCTAGTTGCCATAACATTGATCATGGGTATCTCTTTATGCCGACAAATTTCATACTGAAGCTCTAACAAGGCAGCTACTGTAATATCGAATATGTTGAATCCTTTGTGTCATTTTTCTATTCGATGGACAATGCGGGGGGCTTTCAGGCGATTGAGTATTCACCATCGGACATTCGATCTTAAAGTGCATAATGTTATGGAAAGATGGCCGCTTACATACTCTGGAGCAGCATAAGTGGCAAGAGGCTAAAGTTAATGATAAGCTTTCATTCAAGGCGACGGTTTCTGCAGGCGATGGTTCCGTGTTGAGAAACTGTGAGCAATTCTGGTGCATGAGCATGGATATCGAGTATGCTGATCATTGTGCACTACACATCAGCTGCAGGTGTTGAATACACTCTTGACCACACGTGCAGGGTTTCATACCTCCTCCACCAACCTGTATGATATCTGGCTCATAAAACACCATGCGTGTGGGGGTCAGTATCATGCGACGAACTTTGGCATGGCTCCTGCCAATGTTCCCATCCAAAACGGGACTCTTCAGGAACGCCTTCTTCGCTGCCTTGAAGAGGTGCATTGGATTGCCAAAGAGAGAGCGCCCAATGTCATGCGCCATTCTGAACAGAACCTCACATACCACAGGGCCACTAACGACATCGAGCTCCCTGAAGAACTCGTTCTTGAACCTGTCCATGACGAATCCAGGTGAACTGCACAAGCAGCACCATGCATAGTTGACATCAGGATCCCTGTGGTGCCTGCAGTCCGGCGGGATGCCACCCTCCTGTGTTTGAAAGCACTCGTCTAGGCGAGTGATCTTAACATGTGCATACCAAATTGACTTGCCAACAGAATGGAGCATCTTCAAGCAATTTATCATGCTTGGGGTGAAGGCCGATTCCACGCAGCTTGGATTGGCAAACTCAAGTCTGTATGCCAAAGAGCCTCCAAGGGTATCTGAATCAACAAGAACTTCGTTGTTTTCCCTGATCTCGACCTTTCGATGCCTCATCTGGAGGTTGGATCCCTTGGCTTCTAGACACATATACAGACGAGGTGGGTGGCGCAGAGTTAGGTGTATTGCCACATTCCTGAGGTCTGCAGATGCATGAATCACAACAAAGTCTTGCAGCTCCCAAAAACTGCACTCCAGCAGGTGCTCATCACCAACACTTATGGTCATCTCTCGCTCTGAATAATCAAGTGAGAGGCGGAATGCACCAGCAAGCTCGGTCCGGCTGATGAACTGGTGGTGGTCGAGCCACGAGCCCATCAAGACTTTAGCCAACTCTAGTCGCAGCATGCTGGTCCTATTGCAGTGACTCTTGCGGATTTGCAGCCACACATCATCCAGCTCCCTTGCAAAGAAGTTTTGCAGAAGGGCTCTCTCAAACTGCTTACGGTCATCTGCATAGCTCGCATTGATAGGAGGCCTGACCAAAAACTCATGCTGCTCGATGGCGCAGATGACCTCGTTTGCATGCAGCTTCCTTTGCTGCCAATCCATCACTACACATGTGCCTTGCAGTCTCGATGTCATTGTATCTTCTGGCCGGATTACAGGATTTGTGAAAACAGCAATTGCTGCCAAGGCATGCTCATCATAATCGATATCATCGTCACCAATCTCATACTCATCGTCGCTGCCAATGGTATACTCATCCCCATGCACTTCTCTCCAGTTATCATTCAACGTGTCCAAGTCAATGTCGTCCACACCCCAGCGTGGTACATCGTTTGCTGCAACATCTGGCAGCGGATCTGCTGGAGGTGTGGCTCCACGGGGGCTTGTGCTCAAATCCACCTTGAGTTCAACATGCTCATGTGCCGCAAGGAATCTGCCCATGTGCCCCTGGGCTGAGTTGTTGTCCATCTCATTTTGCATTGACTGCATAGCATATTCCTCCATCCTGAGCATTTCCTGCAGTTGCTCCTCCTGCTCTGTGGAGCTGCAGATTAGCACAAATTTGGCACCACTGGCTCTTGCCCGCCCCCTACTCTGGATCAATGAACGGAGGAACAGGTTGCTGTCAAACCGCACCACCAGACTGCATGTTGGCACGTCGATGCCCTCTTCGAGCACATTTGTGGCTATCAACAAGCGTGTTGTCCCTCTGCGAAAACTCTCCAACACCAGGTCCTGCTGCCCCTCCCATTGCATACCATCCCCATGCACACCGTGTCCCACAAGCACCTGGAAGCAAGAGCATGCAACAGACTGTGTTGGGCGTGCACATTAGATCCACTGAGCAATTGCGGAACTGGATAGAACCATGCCCAGCCATCATGCAGCCAATCACAAGTTCATCGTCTCCATAATGACATCTGCTCTGCCAAATTACGTTCCTCTTCGAAAAGTTTTCCATCTGCCTTGTCTCAGTTCCTTCGATTCTCGTCAAGGCTGGAGCCTGATGCAAACTATAAACCCACCCCACACACACCAAACATTTCCACAAGGACAGCTAGCTACCATGTAAATGGAGTCATGGTGCTTACTAGTGGGAAATAATGAGGGTGCAACTTGGTAAGCATGTACGTTCACAGCTACATGCTTTGTTCCACATTATGCCTGACACCATCAACAGCACCATTCTGCAAGTGAATGAATGCTTGAGGTTCAACCACACTTGTGACATCACTCCCAACCACTTGTTTTTTCTGGACCTGTGTGCAGGATCACAGAACACATATAATGAACCCATCAACTTCTGAAACAGGACAGCAACTTACGTGGAGTACAAAGCAGCTTGTCTGTCACGAAGCTGTGAATGGATGATAGGAAAGGATGGCGGCCAAAGTGTATGTGAACAGGGCCTCCTGTTGCAGCAACTCGTCTGTGCAGTGCTGACAGAGTGCATATGGTCTGTGGTGGCAGTCAGGACTCAACATGCTCAAGCAGCATCTGTTTCTCTCCACAATAACTCACCAGGGGGTTCAATTCCGTCCGGATTCGCTTCTGTGTCATTTCCAGAAACGTCTTCAGCTTCTGTGCCGTCTTGCGCATCCGCACAAACACAATGGCCCGTCCAGCTTCCTTCTCATCGAGGAATTGGGACAGGACCTCTACAAGCCTCTTGCATTTGCTGGACATGACCTCCTGACCGTATTTGCTTGCTCGCTTCTCCTGGATCAGGGCGTTGAGCAGGCTCCTATACTCCACATGCAGCAAATCATACTTCGCTCGCTGCCCTGGTGTGCCAGACCTCTGTCCCTCGCCAATTTCCTCAAAGACATCCCGAAGGTATCTGGACGCGGTTGCCCCACCAACAACGAAATTAATGTCCTGGGCCTGAAGGACAATTTGTATGTGGTCCAGCATCAGCAACACCTTGGCGATATTCTCCGTGTGGGGATTGGCGATGCCTTTATTACAAATGTACCGCAGTTCCCGTGCCTTTTTTCTGCATATGACCCTGGCTTGATTGCTGTTCGAGGAGGCAACACGCCCAAAAACATCGTCACCACTTAGCTGATCTACTTTCCGCATTATGTTCTTCAAATATACATCGATGTCGCGCTTCAGATGCTTCTCCCTCTGGGATGGTGGCGCCAAGCAGGAAAAGGTCTTCAGCAAAGGAATGCAGCTGCTCACATCAGAGCCTCTCGGTACGCAGAGCTTGCACTGCACAGTTTGCATCAACTGAACCAGCTTTTCCTGAAATCTAAGGAAGCCGCCAATCCCTTCCTTGCTGTCCACCGGTGAGGCAGACATGCCTGTCACCAATGGGCGGCACTCTTCTGGGTACAGACCCGACGCATAGTGCTTCGTCATCAGGGTCGCATATGGGCTGTTGCCAGTGGCATGGTGGGCCTCATCGAGGACAAGGCAACAGATGTCACACATCCGCAAGACAGCTTCAGCATCGAGATAATTGTTCAGCAGCTGGCAAGTGATGACGAGGACGTCGGCCTGAAGTGTGCTGGCAATCTGTACATGGAGCAAGTCACACACATGAACGCTGCTTCACCGAGCTGACTTGTCCCTTGCGATGCAGTGTCACGTGAGTATACACACACAAATGCTGGGCCAATTCAGGTGATGCGCTTCCAGTTTCTCCCCCTGGTTGACAATCTATTAGAGCGGAACAGAAACAAACTTTTTTGGGGGGGATCAAATCCATAAGCCGTCAAAGAGCAACAACTATTTCTTAGATAGCAGTTGGGCACTCAATAGGCTTGTTGTTCACCGAATAACAAATGTAACTGGACAAAGTTGCATGGGTTGCAACATGACAATTTTTGGTGCTGAAACCCTGTACTCTAAAAGCGACTACAAAAGCACAAGGAGGTCACTATTTGCTGGCATGATTGTCCTATAGCACAGTCGTCACCCAGTGTCAGAGCTGATGGGGAATGCTGTCCCACAGATTGAGGCTGAGGCGTTCCTGAGCCACAGATTATCTGACCTTTGCTACGTGCTTCTGTCCTTCCACATCCTGCATCTGGCCATGTGCAGTGACCACCTTTATATGTGGTATCTGCTGCTGCAACTGCCTTCCCTGCTGCTCAACAAGGGAAACTGTGTTGACCACGAAAACGGCCATCTTCTGAGGATTCACCCGCAGCATAGCGTGGACCACTGCCGCAGCTATCAGTGTCTTTCCTGTCCCGGTTGGCAGACAGATTAGGGAATTGGTCAACAGCGCGGCCCGTGTCATTTCCAGCTGGTAGTCCCTGAGATCGAATTGTGTGAGAAGCTGCAGGGTCTCATCGTTAAGTAAACCCTCATCCACAAATGCAGTACGCAAGGCTGGTGTGCCTCTCATCGTTGGCAGCTTTTCGTTGCCACACAGCTCTTCCTCAGTTATGGACAGCACGCCTGCTGCAAGAAGCTCCGTAGTGGCAAGTTTCCACTTCTTTGTTGCAATTTTGCGCTTGTCTGACCTTATGAATCTGGTCTTGCTGCAGCTGAAGCAGTCCATCACGATTCCTGCGATTCCGGTCTTGGTTGCTGCTCCAACCCCGCGACCACAGGACCTGCATCGCAGCTTGCACTGGACGTGTCCACTGTTGCCATCCTCATCGTCTTCCGCATGGTCTATGGTGGTCAGCTGCTGGCCAGGAGCAGCTGCTAATGCAACAGAATTTTGACTATCATCTTTGATCAGTCTGAGGTCTTCTGCAAGGGCCAGACGGCAGTTGCAGGGGGAGCAGCAGCAGAGAGCCATGTGTAGGCCGTTTAAAAGAATGTCCACCTGGTTCCGCTACCTGGAGCACCCCCAACAAAACACACATTCAGTCAGCTTGTGAGCAGGACATAGATTTACAGTTACAACATGTGAACAGCACTTTCAATGATGGGGAAGGGACTATGGCTGTTGTGGTGACAGGATTTCTGGTCACGGGTGCACTGCTGTTAAGCATAGGAAAGCACACTGAGCGGCTGGTCATTCCCCATACAAATCCATTTCAACTGCAAGAGTACATGTACTGGCCGTGTGTATCTTTGCAACCCATATCAATACCCTCAATGTTGGATGGCAGGGTAGTACAGAAGGCAATAACGTTCAACAAGACAAACATCTCAGTCAGTCCCCTGTGCCATTGCTTCGAGGGACATAGTTTTCCTGCAAAGTATACAGATTCTCAGCTGGAGGTGCTTTCTTTGCAGACCAAACAGTGGTTTGGCGCAGTGGGGAAGAAAGAAAACCAAAACAAACAAAATTGACAACGAAAAAATGGGTGGAGCTGCTGCACATGTGCTGTTCTGCAGCTGGGTTATGTTACTGAAGCCACTTGAAGCCATTCAAAATGGTCAGCATCCCGCCAACGAACTCATATAACAACACAGTCACGACGGTTTGTGCCAGATGCCGAAATCGATTTCCCGTGCACTGGCTTTGCACACGAGCAATGGCCGCACCAAAGCCAAACACCTCGACGCAAGGCCTACAAGCGGAAGGAAACAACACTCAGGCAGTCGAACACCCAGAAGACACGGAATCTTCCTTACGGCCAGCACAGTCCAAATCCCAAATGGACACTGTACAGGACACAGTGAGCCCTTTCCCCCGGGCTGGCTCCAACCCACGCACACAAGCTGCAAGACACAGGCAGAGCTCCCCGGCGCCTGGGTGAGGATTCCCAAACTTGGGAAAGACGACCAGCAGCCGTCACGACGCTTTCTGCCTTCGGCGCGAGAGATTCGAGTGGTCAAGAATCTGCACAACAGCGATACACAAAATCTCCCCCCGGCAAACTGCCGCAAGGACGCAACACCAGATCAGCGGCCAGGAAGAATCAGGCCGACGGCGTCCTCAAGGTGGCGTAGCCGTCAATCGCCCGATCGTCGTTTTCCAGGCACTCGCACGAAGCCGGTATCGCGACGATTTCCTCACCGGGTGCAGCTTGTTTGCTTCGATCGCAACAGTCGCTGACCCAAGCCGCAAGACCCGCGGTGCTCCTTGGCGCGCGAGAAGAGCCGGCGGGCACGTCCAGCCCAACGCGACAGAGTCGTTGTGGCCTGTGTGCCCGGTGTACATCCTCGCTGGCACCCCCCGTCTTTCCTTGGGCTGTTAGCGTCTTCATGGCGGGGGCCAGCGCGTACGCCTCCAGCGCAACGCCAGCGAAAGCGCGCCCGATTTCCAGCTAGTGCGCCGCAGGCGGGAAGTTGCGAGTGCCACTGGTGCGCGGCATGGGGTTTCAGCAGTCGTCCTCCGGAGCTGACTTGGCAGCCCAAATTGCGCATGTCCGTCAGTTAACGCAGGCGGCCCCAACGAGCGCTACCACCAGGCAGCGCCAGATGTCGCACAGGCCGGGAGCAAGTAGCTCGACACAGGCTGCTGGTCCGAAGGGGAACAGTACCCTCGTGTCGCCCGCGCCATCGTCTCAATGGTTTCGAAGCAACTCTTGGCCAATGTACAGAATGCACTGCGGAAGTGACGTCCTATGCCTGTCAGCTGCGACTCGCCCTTGAGCTCTGCGGTGTTGGCGACTGCGGGCTCAGGGGAAGGTTGGCCGTCGGAGTGAGGAAAACGGGTCGGAGGTGGGCAGGCTTGTGGAGCGTGAGGAACGAGGACGGGCGTGAACAGTGTCGTGCAGAGCGCATTTGAAGGAGCATCCCCGATTGCTGACAGGAGGTGCGCAGCAAATTTGGCCCCTTGTAATCTGCCGGCGATGTCGCGATGTTTGAGGGAAACGTCGCGACGAAGGATGGCACTCCCGTCGTCACTGATTACAAAAATTACGGTGCCCGGGAAATCCCATCGCGCACACAGAGGTCGGCAGTAGGCGGGAGCTGGGAAGAGAATTATCAAACAAACTATCCTTGCAATGTCCAAGGAGCATTCCAGCCCGCTTGTGCCCTTGGCAGAATTGTATTGACTGTTAATGCTGTTGCCGAACAATGGAATCAGCGGTCTTGTCTCGGAGCTGGGCCGCAGATATATCCTCAAGTTAGGTGTACTGGGAGCAAGCATCTGCTGATGTGGTGGACACTGAATGTATGATAAAACACCAGATGCCTTCAATGCTCACACACAATGAATCCAGCGAATGAATTCCCACTCACATCGTGTGGAAATTCTGCACCAACGGTATAGGCAAGAGAACTTGTCATGTTGGCTGGTGTGCATGTCAAACCCAAGGGTCAGCTGCTAAAAGGGCGTTCACACAATGCATTCATGCTTCTTGGCGAATTTAATGCCTCTTGTCAACCTGAACAACTGCATCCTTGCAACCTGCAAACTAGGTCGGCTGTCACGGAGGATCAGGACGTCCCTGACAAACCATTGAAAGGATCCCAAAGTGAGGCCCAAGGCTGACAGCATTTGCATTTTGATGCAATCCAACACCGACACAGCCCATCCTCTTTTGCATTTTACCACGATGGATCTGATCATTTGTTTAGTCGTTTAGCATCCAAAACATGCCAGACCACAAGGGCCCTTATGTCGCGATCGTGCAGTGCATACACGATGCATTGGATGTGCCAAAACTGCCCCACTCCTGCGTTGTGTTGCCTTGTGCACTTGCAGCTATTGGCCTTGCAGTCACCTTTTGTTTCCAGCATATCACATTGCATTTATAAGTGCAGGTGGCCAATCCCTCCTGAAACAAGCAGATACAGGCCTTTTGCCACCTTTCACAAAAATGCAAGTTTAGGCAATAGCTGGCAAGGAGTGCAAGGCTGGGGCAGAAGCATTGTCAATGTTCATGGCTTGAGTGGGTCCCAACCAGCGACCACCAATGGCTGTGTGTGGGCTGTGTGTCTCAAGATGTGTTACAATCCCAGGATACCACAGGTCATACAAGGGAGCACCCCTGTCCTAGCAGAATCAGGTGGGGCCTTTTCTGCTTTGCAGCGCTATAGGACACTGACGGCAAGAATGAAATCGAAACATGAACATGCATGAAATACACAAACATGCACTCCGGTGTTGTCCACAGAACGAAAAGAGGAACATGCCACTGTATGTCATTGTAGCAGCATGTAACCGTATCAAGCATCATGCCTGTCAAGAACCCGAACCGTTTTTTGTCCTCACCCCAACAGCACATCATCGCAACACAATTGTTATTTGATTGGTTAACTTTTTCACTAGAACTGGCAACCAAATGTGCTCCCAACATAGTTGCAACCCGCAACAAAGGTGTGATTCTCCCTAGAACCTGCAACAGAATATAGTCGCATCTTTTGGGGGGAGCTGTGTAGGGGGTGGGGGCTGTGTGCATGTTTTTCTCTTGGGACTGGAACTGCAGTTGCCAGAATATCCAGAACACAAGCAAACATCCATGGCCACCTCGTTCTGCTGAAGAAATGGCGCAACTGCCCAGGCATAAAAGACATGCATACTAGTGCTTGCCACCATAATCGCCTGCAGGGCGCCATGGCAGCGCTTTATCATGTATGGCTTAAGGTGTGCTTATGAGCCAAATGTGCAGCAAGCGAATTAACCAGCGCATGCAGACGCACACTAAATGCCAACTTAATTCAGCTCATCTAAAGTTTCAGTTGTCGATGTGGGCAGCAGTACTGATCCAGAGACACAGGCACATGCTTGGTAGTTGCAGTGCAATTCGATACATTGATGAGCACATTGTGGCACACTGGCCAGCTGGCCAAATTCGTGTTTGTTGGTGCTGCAGGCAGTGCAGGCGACTAGAAATACCTTCTCAAGTGAAGCTCATGGCCCTTCACTGCCTCTGTGACTATCGTCTTGCGCTTGCAATGGAACTGAGGTTGATTCAGGATGCCAATCAGGGCTCTGTGGCATTGGCTGCCGGACCCAGTGAGCAGTTGGCCACCATAAACCACCTAGAGAACTCTGGGAACAGTAAGTGGGTCCAAAAGAAGCTTCAGTGCAAGTCCTGTGGTCGCAATGTTGGGGCAACCACTAAGCAAGGCGTCTCAGGTATCCTGATGGACTGTTTCAGTTGTGCGAAGACCAAATTCTTGAGGCTTGACGGGAGCGGTATCGAGACAAAGAAATGGAAGACAGTTGCAGAGGAACTCGAGGCAGCGGGAGTGTTGCGCATAAGCCAAGATGAGTTGTGCGGTCATGAGCTGATCCCAACCATGAGTGGCAAGCCAGTGCTACGGACAGTGTTTGTGGATCCTGACACTCTGACAGATGAAGCACTGCAAAAGTTGACAGTGCTTGACCTCAGAGATTACCAGCTGGAGATGGCAAGGGCCTCACTCTTGTCCAATTCCCTGATCTGTCTCCCAACTGGAGCAGGGAAGACTTTGATAGCCGCGGCAGTGGTCCATGCCATGCTGCGTGTGAATCCACGGAAGATGGCAGTCTTTGTTGTCAATGCGGTTGCGCTCGTTGAACAGCAGGCGATGCAGCTGCGGCAGCAGATACCACACATCAAGGTGGTCACTGTCCATGGGCAGATGCAAGATGCAACAGAGCACAAAAGCACTAAAAAGGTGAGGCTATGTTCCATTTGTCACCATCTTTCTCACCATGAACCCAATGGTGATCCAAAGAGCACCCAATGGTGCCTTCCTGCTTATATGGCTTGCTGTTCCACGCTGGATTGCATTCTTGCAGCTGCTGTACAGCATACCAGGAACATGCTTGCCGAACTGCTTTCTCCAGTGCGATGAACTTGGGAGGTGATAGATGAGATTCCAGTACAAAGGCAATCAGCGTTCTTTGGTGATAGTTGTTTTGTGAGTGCACGTGCGTGTGTGTTCTGTCCAGATTGCCAGCAGCCT